CGGTTATTTTTACAGCTGATTTTATGGACTCTTTTCTGCGGCGTCTAACATCACAATTAAATGGAAGTCAGTGGTGCTACATAGGAGACTTATAATTGGTCTCATTTAAGGGCATTATGCAATTTAATTATATTGATTTTGTATAATTCATAGCAAATAGAATAATTGGTACTTAATGTTCAATATTTCAACATCCAACCACATAAGAAAAACAATCACAAACTTCCTCAGTATAATAACATAATTTAAATTCCCAAAATTTTCGATTAATCTCACAGCACCTGAATACCATCCATCTATTTGGAGGAACTCTAGATCGAAAAAAAACTAATCCAATGACTTACGTTCCACGACGACTTCCAATAACGGGATACAAGTCCTACCTCAAGGAATGAAAAACTGGTTTGGGATTCGTACGGGCGAAATTTGATTGGATTTTGTCGGGGAAATTTATGTCCCGCGATTGCGGATGGCCGCGGAAATTTTCCCGCTGCGGTAGAACTTGGCAGCCTCGTCCGGCCATTCCGACTGCGATAATAGCTGTCTGGCTCTAGTGTTCTCTACCGGATTCAGCTGTAGTCGCCGACAAATATAAATTAAATCTTAACGCTGCTACATTTGAACAACGTTTGTGATATGATCTTGGGACCTAAAAACTCACCATCACATCACTCGGTGTGCCCCGATTAGTTACCTAAATAGGAATTAAATTTGAATTAAGAATGAATCCAATATGAAAGTTCTACTCGCAATTTTTTATTGAGCTATTAAGAAAATAAAAAATAAAATTATTATAGAACACATTCAAAACGTAACTATGCTAAAACAAAACAACTGAGCTAAGCTATTGTCAGGGGAGCACGTCCTACACACACTCATGTCCATTATCCATGCATGTGTTTGTGTCATTTTCATGTTTTGTATAGTTCATATTTTAATGTACTGTGTTAATGCGGTCGCATTGAGCAAATTACCGCCTTTTCACATCCAGTCACATCTCTCATTACTTGAAGCGCACAATTTTCGCTTCGACATTCGAACTCTCACACACACACAATCGCACGAAGAGTTCAGACATAAAATAATACAATTTCTCACAGTCATGTAAGCCAACACTAAAAGCTCACGCACACAGGCATTGAGACTCCGCGTACACACACATATTCTGTCTTACAAAACAAGATACAGAATCCCACAGCCTACACAGACATCACAGAGCGCGTTTAAACCAAGCTACGGGATTTCCAGCAAAGAATCAGCATTCTCAGGAGCAGCCACCGCGCGCAGCTATACGGCAAGCTTTTAAACAAGGCGTTTATCGTGAAGTTTAAGTTAAAATGCAGTATCTTTGCTAACAGTCGCGAAGTACAGCTACTCTAAGTCTCTAACATTGCTAAACGTTCCCTGTGAACTAAAGGTGCACATGGTGTCCAAGCATGTAAAGTTGATCATTTACAGAAAAGATGAACGTGCAGGTATTTCGTGCAATGCCAGAACCGTTCAGTGTGAGTGCACAACATGAATGTGGAAATTTTCCCAGTAAGAAGGAATAGCGTAAGAGGATATTTTGGTCTAGCATGCGAGAAGCTACGATTTTGGCATTGTTTCGGCATTCTGTACACATAATTCAATAAATGAGTGTAACCTTGAGACGGAACTATTTCGAACTAATTCAAAGCTAATTCAACAGTCATGGGTGGATTTAAATTTAATTAAGATTAATAAGGAATTTACAATTAATTAACGCTCATTAAAATATTAATCTGTGTCCGAAAAGATAGGTTATCGTGTAGCCTAAATATTTCGGTAAAGCTCAAATTTTATCTTTCTTTTGCATGCGAACATAATCCCTAGTTTTCTAAACTTTGGATCCTTAAATGCATGAAATACTTCTGGACTAGCTTGATATTTCACATGCAATGGGTTTTGAACTTCGAACGCATGCTGCGTTCAATTTGACGGTGTCTATAATTCCTCTAGTAGGTTCGAAGGCATGTTATGTTCCCATTCAAATACCTAAACTGAATTGCATCTAAGTTTAGAGAAAAATGAAATAAGGAAAGTTTATAACATTATACTTTCGCATTTGAGCAAAAATTGTACGATAAAATCTAGCGAACGTAGCAAAATTTCATGGTAACGAATGAGGCTATATTCAAATCTTTTGTTTCTCAGGTACGAAAGATCGCAATGAATATCATCTTTCCAGACCTAATATCTGGCATTTGGAAGTGCGGGTAAAATCTCTGAACAGATCAGAACCAAGCCCTATACTTAGCGTTCATTCGAAGCGACGTAGGCGTTCGCTGAGCTAGAGAAACTGTGAATTGCGTTCACAAAAAAAATGCTTTATGGATTTAATTCTATATAAAGATTTTGAACTTGTGAAGGGATCATCTTTGCATGTTTCTTGTAGCAAGTCAACATACAAAATTCGTTTATAGTCGCTACAAATCAATGATCTCTTAATTACGGAGACGTTTCACGTACTGAAACGTTTTTTAAGAACTATTTGTAAATACCGTGACATATTGAGCAGCAATTTAGCGCATATCGAATTATCTCTAAACTTTATCGGTTAACTGCTTCTCATTATTAGTACATTCACGCACTGTCGTGCCAGTCATCCATGGTCCGTATCCACGATGTCACTCTTCAAACACTTCCCTGCAACAGATCTAAACCGTTTGGAGATTCGGCTCAACCAAGTTACTCAAGTTTGGATGACTAACACGGGGATTCCTAGAGAGTTTAATGCTTTTTTTACAAAATGTCTTCATATCTAACTTTGTGGTTGCATAGCTTATATGTCCGGTAAAGTTTGTCAGCCTGTGTTGTTATATTCGCTTTATGTTATACCCGGTTAATTATGTTTGCTAGCCTGTGTTTATATGTTTGCATTATGTTAGCTTGGTGATGTTGGTATTTTAAAGTTATGTTATGTCCGGTTATGTTTGCTAGCCTGTGTTTATATGTTTGCATTATGTTAGATTGGCGATGTTAGTATTTTAACGTTATTTTATGTCCGGTTATGTTGGCCGGTGACCGCCAGAAATTAGCTTCTTGTGTCCGGACCGCCACTGAGCAGCGAAGGCCGTTGTAAGTCCATGCTTTACCAACCAAGCGCTGCGCTGCGTCAGGTTAAAAGCACAGGATTTCCTGTACTGATACTGAATCACCAGCGACATCCATTTGAACCATTTAGGATTGCATAGGTACAATTTTATCTAAACTCGTTACGATTATAGCTTTGTAAGATTATGTAGTCTGACAAGGATTAAACACTACACATACCGGCCCAACTCAGAGAACGCGTTCGTCCTATGATTGGTCAGCGAGTCATTAATTCAGAGTCATCCTTAATCAGACTAACTGTCAGGGATTCCGAACTGTTCAACTTGGCAGGCCCGGCAAACTATCAGACATTATATTATTCCAGGATGTATTAAAATAGGAATGTTTGAATAATGAATACACACGGTGAATATTTATTCATCATAATAAATTATATCTGTTCACAATGAATTATATTTATTAATAATATTTTTTATACTAAATACGGAATATTTATCCGTAAATCCTTGCGTAGTTCAATTAATGAAATATTATGATAAGGTTAAAATGGAGATAAATTGCACCAACGAATTTCGGGTAGATTTTGCTTGGTACTAAGCTGGCCGGACCATCGATGTAAAATAATATTTTAAGGGCTGATTTTCAACCATTATTCATTACTTGCACACACGGTTAATACAAACCACCATTGCCTACGAGACTCCATACACGTACAGTGTATGGAGTGTACGTACACACGCACAAACAGACCTCATGCAGCCTTCAGAGGCGCGCTCTCTCGTGCAAATCCTGGTAACGATCGAGCGCTTTCAAATGCTCTCGTCATGCAGTTATTCCGCGCATTTGTTTACTATTTTGCATGATCCCGTTCGGTGGTGTATTGCCTTATAAATAGCACTAGATATCAATTTTGAAAATGGTATACGAATTTGCGAGTCTCGTTGAATTATAGAAGATTAATTTATTTGTTAACCATATTTCTCAACTTCGAGATCTTTTTTTTTCTACAAATTATACGCCATGAATTATCCAGAATTTTGGACCAAATTGCGAAAATTAAACAAGTCTATATTTAAACTTAAAAAATTCACAGTTGCCAGTGTTCCAGAGATAATTATATACTCAAGTAGTTGTTCGAATAATACAAAATAAATAAATTTAGAAATCTTCTTGCGACCACGTTGGGATAAATCGTACTGACGAAATATAGCTGTTACGGGAACTTCTCCAATGAATTAAAGTTTAACTTAAACGCACCGCAAGAAAACAGCGATTGCTTGCATTAAAAAGAACTGTCGCAAGAAGTTACGGGAAGCTGAAAAGAACCGCGGGCGGTTTGTGAGCAAGGCAAGAGTAAGGTCAGCGGATTTCAGTTACATGTGGAGGTGGTGGAGCAGGGATGGTGATGGAGTTCCGTGCCTCCTCGGCTCCAACAGCTCTAACCTGCACCATTACTACTTGGCCAGTCGGCTTGTGGCACTAGTTACGTGAGGTGATGCGCGGTCCGATATTCAGCGTTCGTCCTTTGTGATCACAGCCGCTACCATAATGGTGTTCAATGGAATGCAAGGTGTTGTGAATAGGCTTAGAATTCCAGTGCGTGCGTTGAAGAGAATTGTGTCGAGAGTTCTTTTCTTGATGTTTATACGAGAAAATCGAAAATTTTTAACTTCACTATCTTTCACAGCTGGGCATCGAGAGAAGACTGCCCGACTCTGATCTTCCGCATCTTATGACGCGGAAGATGCTTGCGGAAGAATATGAATTTAATTTACCTATACATGTTCAATTAGAAGGGTTTACTTTTATAATTTTGTTTTTGGGGAAAAATATTCATTTTTATTTGAGTTAATTAATCCAACTTCATTGAATTCCAAAAGAATTAGTTTTCTGGGAGCGATTCTATTCGAAATCGGTATTCGGAATAACCGACTTCTAGGAGTTGGCCGATCAGCTTGTCTCGTGAAATGATGTCTCATATGATTTCTGAAGTTAAATTAGTTTCCACCGTATAATTCAATTGGATTATTCCATTGCAGACGACTTGTTTCCTCATGTTTGGGAAAAATCCACCCAGAACTAGACAAGTTGACTTGAAGGTGATAGCCATAGTGCTGTTCTATCCGAAATAATATGAGTATAAATGTGACTTAACATTTACTGCGTGTACAGTACGTCTACGTGAAACTTCGAAAGACGCTTCTTTCACTGCTTATAGTTGTATGAAGTTGGCGCTGATGCTGAAGTGCACTACGTTGACCATCGACTAGTCGTGGCCTTTGGTGACTGTCACTTTCGTGACTCACCTAACTAAAACTAGGAGTGACATGACTGCTGTCGCTGCTGGGGCTAGGTGAGATTTTCTTTTGATTTTTGTATCACATATTTTCTGTCGCTATCCAAAGTGATAGCTATGCAAATGAAATATAAATCACTTTTAGCGTTTAGTTATTTTTTCGACTAAGCTAGTGTGTCGTTTTAAGCGAGGTCTATTTTCGTAACAAAACCAACCTGTTGCTGTATATAATGCTGCTGAGGTCTTGGCTTGTGAAGAGAAAACCGCTACTGCGATTAGCTGTTGATTCGCTGGTATTGTAAAAGTACGCACTTGCGAATGGACGAAAGAGTCGTTATGCTCATAATTTATATACGTATTCTGGAAATTTTGCTTTGCGTTTGAAGCCTGGCTTAAAATGAGTATGGGACAATTGAAGCACGAATTCACAATGCTAATCGTACAGATTGGACAAGTACTAGTAGTGTCCAATCAGAGACCACTTTTTGAGGCATTGGGAAACGCGGCTTGATTGGGAAATTCAAACTATTTTTTAAAGAAATTTCACAAAGTTTCACTACATTTTCTTCGATCAGGACTTAATTATATTCAATTTGACTAAAAATTTAAAAGCAAAGAATAGTCCACAAAAATTCATATCTTTATAGAAAACGTTTCGGAGTCCATGCAGCTCCATCGTCAGTTCGTAGAATCTAGAATATACATAGAAAGTCGCAAGTTAATACAATTGAAAGCACAGAACACAATTAGAACCTAAATTTACAAGTAATATGGCATATAAACCTATCTATTCACAATTTCAAGGGGATAGGAGCTCACTATCCCCTTGAAATTGTGAATAGATAGGTTTTTATGCCATATTACTTGTAAATTTAGGTTCTAATTGTGTTCTGTGCTTTCAATTGTATTAACTTGCGCGACTTTCTATGTATATTCTAGATTCTACGAACTGACGATGGAGCTGGACTCCGAAACGTTTTCTATAAAGATATGAATTTTTGTGGACTATTCTTTGCTTTTAAATTTTAGTCAACTTGCGATTTAAGCAAATAAGTGACATTAATATATTCAATTTATATTATTTAGTTTAAAACTATTATGAGGGGGGAAGGCGAATCAAGTACAGGAAATAGAACCGAGTTTATATGTACGTTATAAATGAAAATCGATTGAGAAACATGTTGAAAGAGTACGTTCCATTCTATGAAGACGCTAGCGCTGAACAAATCGCGAAGATAGGTATTTGATTGCTGCTCTGAGAAGCGGATGAAGTAGGTATATACGTATGACTACGGCTTCTTTGATACCAATGTTGGCTTCACTAAATATGGCTTCACTAAATATGGCTCCACTAAATATGATACTAAATGAACAGCCAAGCAGATTGTTTTCACATATTCAAATTATCTCGAACGATTACTGAGAATGTTTTCCGAATTTATGGCCATTTATTGAAACCTCATCATGCTTGAATCATCGTTCCCAGCGAGAACGAAGTAACCTTTGCTTGTCCAGTCGATAACTGAACCACGACCGGTGAAGATCTTCACTAAATTTTCACTTGTCAGAAACTTCATTGCGCGTCGAGTTGACCGCCAAAATTACAATACGGGCTTGGATTTATAAACCAGTCTAATTTATTAATTATATAGTCTTCACGCTTATTTTTGAAGCATCTGTCAGGATGTATATGTATTGTTATCGCTTCCAGAAGCTCAAGGTGTGTTTATTATTGTTTAGTGGGCGTACAATACAGATGGGCCGTCGTTATTCATCCTTAACTCGTCATAATTATGTTGTAAATTTACAGGAGATTTTTCATAGAACAATTCACAATGCGGAATGCTAATTTATGGACTTGTTTAAAGTGATGCTGAGTTTAACTTCTGCTTTACAATATTTATCTAAATCGTTCTTGATCTTCGAGGAAATATTGGATGTTTAAATCCGCTACTGACAGTCCACTCACAATCGATGGATTCCGCCACAAAAAATTGACTCATTGAAGCCTTATTTTGACTATTTGATTAATTTTTTGACGACCTAGTTTCGACGTTATACGCACAGAAAAAATATCACACCTCTCAATATTGGCTCAATGTTGACTTGCCACGCTCAATGTTGACTTGCCACGCTCAATGTTGACTTGCCACGCTCAATGTTGACTTGCCACGCTTAATATTAGCTTGCCACGTCATAAATAGTTCTCATGCCACCATGTGCATAAATGACTTGATCGCCACGCGCTGCCGCCACATCACGCGCCACGGCGGCCCTCATGAGCGTGGTGCTGTGTAGGCCGGTCACGCGTCGCGCGTGACGTAACGCGTGCCCTGCAATCTCTTGCAGTTACAAATGGAGTAACGTGGAAATTCTACATTTAGAAGCAACTGCATGTACAATATAGGATTTACAGCATTTTTGCGATAGGTTTTTGCATTATAGTGTTCCTGATTGAACGATCTTAGCCGTTGGAGATTTTAAGGACGAATGTATAAGAAATTTTAATTATAAACGTAGTCCAGGAAATAGGCCGTTTAAACGTCCTCCATTTCGACTTCCATTCTCCTGTACCTGCTTAGTACGCACCACGTGAATGTACCCGCGTCAAATTCAAGTATTCTATTCAAGTGTATTGTACACTCTCGTAATTATCTATAGCAATTAAGTGTTTAGAGGATGCGAAGCTGGTTTTTTGTCGTTGCCGATGCGGGGATAATGGAGACGTTTTTCGCTTGCCCGGAAGAGGATTGCAACGCTTGTGTCGCCTTATATCCTTCATCAGGTTTTTCAGCCGTTTCTTTGATTTATCATTCATCGTGATATACAATTTATTTCAGCTTTCAAATTTTCTCATCTCATCAAGTTAACTGTCGCCTGCATCCTTCAACATTGATTGACCAGCATTTTGAGTCCGCGAGAAATCACCTTTATAGACTTGACCTGTTCGCATTTGTGATTTTTGTGTTGAACCCGATCCTGCGTTGAATTTTGTGTGTTCAATGCTCGAAATTTCTGCCTCGCACTGGCTTGGCTGAACACAGCATGCAGGTCTTTTTTCACACTTCTATCATAGTGTAACTTTAGAGTGTTCACCCATTCCGTTTTTACATTCATCTGTGTAAGGCAAATGTTAGAATATTAACCAATCCCGTTTTACGGTCATTGATATATTCAGTCAATATTCGTCTTAAGTTAAGACGTTGGACACGGGGGTTTGTTGTTAATTTCTAGGTCATATCTTACTGTTGTGTATAGAACGGAGACACTCAAGCGTCGATCAGTGCAGTCACTTGCCAGCTGTTGGGTAATTACAGGCTTGTTAAGCTCCGATGTATACGACCGTGGCCTTCACTGTTCAATAGAGCAGCGGCAAACGCCAACTAACTATAGCTCGTTACCAAACTCCGATCAGTGATTAAACATTTTCTTGGTCAAACACAGTGATTTATTCCCATAAGTTCGTTGTAACGAGACATCAGTACTATTCCCAAGTTTCGTCTGAACGATCTAAATGCAAAGTATGAGAATAATAAATTTTTATCACTAAACGATACTTACTAAAAGAAATCGTTTGTGCTTAACCTGAAACTTCGAATTTGGGCAAAATATTTATTGTTAATTTTTCTTCGGTTCGTTTTAGTGTTAATTGTTACTCAAATAAAATTGTAATTCATTCCTTGAATATTGTTCTACTCTCTTCCATAGATTTTCCATAGATCAAATCGTGGAATTTTTCGTCACCCCTTGTCCCCGTCTGTTGATGGTCTCAGATGAGGAACTGCTCGAACTCAGTCGCATTCTCGTCTCATTAGAAGTGATGTGAGGAAGGTTACGAGCTTTTCCAGCATTTCCGCGTACGGCGACCTCCTCGTGCTTGAAGTGAACAGCTGTCGTAGTGTTCAATCTCACGTGAGTTGCCGTGCAGCCTCGCCTCCGCGTGGATGTCAATGTCGACGAGAGCATTAAGATGGAAGGCCTCGCTGCTGCTATGCCTGCCTCCAACCGACGTGCTTGTGTGGCCGAGAACATTCCACTCGCGCCGTCCGCCTAACGCAAATATTCTAGACTTGCTAACCTATGTGTATGAAATAGGTATTGTGAGTTGGAATTGATATTACTTTAAGGTTTTCTGATGAAATCATATATGCCAATCAGAAGGCTATTTTAATAAAATCATGTAACCCAGAAAGATATCACGAACCGTGTACATGTTAAGTATCAATCAGATTAATTTTAAAGCGTATTTCGTGCATTCGTGCATTCACTTGCGGTTTACTCTTAAAAATTCATGGCATGCAAATGGAGCGATGATCCCAGGAGTCTCTAGACCTTCCTGATTTCCCCGATTTTAACGGTTGCCTAAAAGTTCACTTTAAGTCCGAAGTTTCTATGCATTCTTGTTACTAAAATATGCATAATTCACTAGAAAATTTCGAACATTAGTTTAGATGAAGATATTTTTCTTAATATATCCCACGATAATGTATTTATTTATTACATTTAAGACACGAAAAAATTTATTCCTTTTATAAAGAGAAAAGTGTGGTGTGTCGGCATCGTTATGGCAGCAGTGGGTAATTCAGAGACCGCTGATAGGGTTAGGTTTACGATATGCTACTTGATTCAGTAATTCACCGCCGAGCTTATTAACGATTCATGGCTGTCTCTTTCAACGATTCAATACGAATAATTTACTATTCAATTAATATTTTATGATAACCAATACACCAGTTCTGCTATGCTTGTTGGTTATTCAGTTTTGTGAACCAAACTACCCTCCGCTTATTATTCGATCCGATCATTAACGGGCAATTGTTCTATCATGAGATGTTGATTCAATGCTGTGTCACCTCATCTTAGCCTTTGATATGATTATCTATTCAGTCCATTGTTCCAAGCTTTGTGTCAGGTGCTTGGACTTCCCTTAACTCTGCATATGACTTGGTCACTAACATGTCCATTGCCAGACTTATGACTTGATCACTAACATGTCGATTGCTAGACTTATGACTTGACCACTAACATGTCCATTGCTAGACTTATGACTTGACCGCCAACATGTCCATTGCTTGACTTATGACTTGATCACTAACATGTCGATTGCTAGACTTATGACTTGACCGCTAACATGTCCATTGCTAGACTTATGACTTGACCGCCAACATGTCCATTGCTTGACTTATGACTTGATCACTAACATGTCCATTGCTAGACTTATGACTTGACCGCTAACATGTCCATTGCTAGACTTATGACTTGACCGCTAACATGTCCATTGCTAGACTTATGACTCGATCACTAACATGCCCATTGCTAGACTTATGACTTTACCGCCAACATGTCCAATGCTAGACTTATGACTTGATCACTAACATGTCCATTGCTAGACTTATGACTTGACCGCTAACATGTCCAATGCTAGACTTATGACTTGATCATTAACATGTCCATTGTTAGTCTTATGATTTGATTACTAACATGTCCGTTGGCTTGTTATGTCGACCCAAGACTTGATAAAAAAATAACTATTCCCCAGCATTTGACATGATCCCTAACACTACCATGCCCCCCAGGGTTGTGTTGACAAGAGGTCAGCCTCGGGCTCGCCAGCGGCACAATGCGTGGTTGGTTTGATGCGTTCCGCACGGAGGGCGGACCAACCCTCTACGCCTACAGCAACCGCACCAGCGTAACCTGTGACGTCACCACCATCACCATAATTCTCGTCTTTCTCACCATATTCTGCGCATTTTGTATCATATTCCCTGGAGTCAGGAAAGAGGTGAGTTGTGAACGTCGTGCGTTTTTTAAAGGCAATTAAAAAAACGTGAACATCCACATGTGTTTAGTGTCTCGTCTTAAAATTTTTAGTGATTAAGTAGTCCATTCCCGACTTCTGCATTGAATTACTTCAAGCCTGCAGTGTCTCAAGTTTTAGTGTAAATAACTTTCCCCTGCATTTTGTCTATTGTGGAAAAAAGTGAGGAGTCTAGAAGCAAAGAAAGTAACAATTGTTTTGTCATTTGCATCGCATTCATTGGAATAATAAGTAGGTAATAACAGAGATAATGCATAACTTCTGCCTCGTACTTTAAAATTCAAGCGCGAATTTGAATGAAAGTAACATGAACTTTAGTGCTATATGCTTCTACTCCCACTCTTACTCACTGATATTACTCCCACATTTTCCCCTTAAAACTCTGAGTCAGAAGAGAGTTTTCTCCGGCGCGTCGCAAGGTCACGTTTTAGGAGTCTGGGTTAACCGATGTGATTCATGTCCCGCGTGAAACTCAGGACATGCGCGTTGTCACTTTCCACACTTGTAAGTTTTTAACGCAGCGTGCGGCTCACAAGGCAACAAATGAACCGCAACGACCTCTTCGCGCTTATAGCCTTTTGTGGCCGGCCGGCCTAACGACGCCTATAACCTTGCTAGGGTTCCTCGCATGCATGATTTGCTGGTCACTCATGAACCTCTCATGACTTCCCCATGTCCTCGTTACTGACTTCTCCCTCGAGCTGAGGGTTGCTTTCTCGCGAAGAAATTGTATTATTTTAATTATTATCTCTTCAACAAAAGGATCGAGTTTGGGTCGTAGACATCAACCTTGTTAGTAAATTCTGCATTTATTTTATTGGTTTTTAATGACCTAAAGAACTATAATCTTAAACGACTGTACATACCATATTGTGTACATATTTAGGCGTTTTTGCCGTAATTTTTTATTTTTTATTAATTATTAATAAAATTTAATGCAAATGCTATATTCCCGTCAAATATGTCGAAACAATTGAAATTAAAATCAATAAACAGCGCCTGATGCACCGTACTGCTTGATATGTTATTTATTTAAATTTTATGACGGGAAGGTTGGTAGTTCTCGATATTTGATTGCTCAATTTAATTTTAGATTTTAATTGTAGATTTCTGTACATAAATTTGCTGTTCAATTCAGTTGGATATAGATGCAGCCTCATTGTCACGGGATGGTGTTTAGTAGACTTGAACCTTAGCAGTGAAGCATGGCTGGAAAATATCCGCTAAACCTTGACTGATGAAGCGAGGTGCGAACACTCGATTGTCTTTTAGTCACGCTTCGTTCCATAACTGAGGCGCTATGAGTCTAAAGCGTTGGTCGGCGTCTTGTGTTCTCAACTTCTCCATGCTTCTGAATTACAGTAACGTTCACAGGCTTTAAAGTTCAATAGCCTTTCACGGTATTAGAAGTATTTGAAACGCTACGAGTGCGGCTATATAGAGCGCGAGTAGACTCGATTGTGTTTAGTGCTGTGAAATTCAAAATAGATCATACTGTTCAGGAAAAAAATGCATGCTCCGTGTTTTCATACAATTTTTTTCCCAGGCTTCATAATTCAACGCCAAAGTAAACTTAAACGATGTTTATTTTTATTTAACTGTAGACAAGCGTGGTTTTTCCACAATAGTTCGATACCGTACAATGGATAAAATTTTAATCAGATCCTGTATTGCTTATGAATGAGCTGCAAAATATTTTGAATCGAAACGATTAAATGGTGAAAAAGTTGAATTTGCGTGTAGTGGAGAGACGTGAGCTGTGAGTAAATTCTGAGTAAATGATTATACTGTTGTTAATAAATATTTTCGTGGCTCTGTGCATTTCCTTGATTTTTAACAGCGCTGTCAAGGCGTCAGAAGTCCCTCAGTGCTGTGAAACCGGTCATCTTCTGAAAATTTTTTCTACATAAGATTTAGATGACACTGAATTTCCTGTAGTTTTTAATTGATCGGCCATAAAATCTCATCAAAGCTTTAGTGTCATGCATCCTAATGGTTTTTCCTGCATTGAAAAGAAACCTGAAAATTGCATGAAATTTCTTCAAATACGGTTTGTAATTGTTTATAATTCATTATAAATCTCTTTTATGACCCCTTTGCCGACTCTATTTATTGATTTTTCACTTCTTCCTTTATCACCCTTTTCGAAGGTGATTGAATTGTTTTTAGATAGAATAAGTTTTGTATTCTCCATTGGGATCCTTTATAATGATCTCTGATGCTCTGATGTGACTTCTCATACAAACCCTTATTTATGTCCTAACTCTTCTCCAATTCTCATTCAATCCTCCAAACAACCCTTCATTTTGGCTATTGTAGGATTCCGTATTACACATTTTATGACGTCATTTCTGATCCCTCTTGTGATAACTTATAACTTCTTCGAAGTCAAATTAATGCATTCTTGTGACACTTCTTGTTGATGCTTTCGTGTTTTTTTATCATGATCAAGCTAATTGTATTTTTATATCTCACTTTTTCAGAGGATATCAACATTTGCCACCGTGTCCCTGAGTCTCGCCACAGGGCTCATCATAACCAGTGAGTATTTACCATTTCATTCATCTTTACATTTTTCGCTTTAAATTTTCAACGAAAATATTTGTCAAAAAATAGTATACTCGTAACTTGGGTAGGTTGTTCTTCTACATTTTCACCCTTCTTCACTTGTTGTCATTCATCTTATTTTACATTTACTTTGCTGTTTTCGCACTGGCTATCTACTTTCGCTTGTATTTATTTTCTTTTCACATACTGACGGTCCGAAATTTACTAACTTATGTTCCTGTATATTTCCTGCACTCTGCGAGCTGGTCAAAATAAATACATCGTTCTTTACTATTGAATAAGTGAGCAGCCTCGCGGCCACAACATTTAAATGCTCCTCTGATGCGTGACTCGCCTTCAGTTTTTCGTACGGAATCAAACAATCCGCAGCAATGCGACGGACGGAACATGACCGGACCAAGTCATTAGGCGCCACTTCCTGGCCGCCGAACTTATTGTTGATTTGTTTGAGTTAAGAACTTGATCATCTCAGGCCCTGTCAACCTAAATAATTTATTTTTAATTTATGAGAGTATAAATATATTCTAATTTATTTATTTACTGCTAATTAGCAGACTGAAACTAACACAAATATTCCCTTCGATGTTTCTCCGATTTTTTTTTCGCCAGATAATTGAAAAGGGATGTTCCATAATTATTAATATTTGTCCCCTTCGAATTTGATAAATCGAATTCATTAGTGCTTTCGTTACTTTCTCGTAGGAATGAATTTTTCATACGAGTTAAATCTTATCGGCACTATAACGTCAACTGTTAATGTGAATTTTGATGAACGTAATTTTTGTTATAGTCTCGATAATGATGATCATTATTAAGGATATCTATCACTAATTGTGATCGCCATCCTCTTTGATGTTGCTTGCCCTGTCAACACCAACAGAAAGTAAAAGTGATTACTTAGCCGCTGAAGTGAAGCCAAGCGTACGATATTGGACTTGAAAATTGTGTACCGTGCAAAGTTCTGAGTTTCAATGCAGCCGAAGTTTTCTGCAGGAAAAGATAAATTTCAAGGTCGAGTCTTTTAATTCCAATATTAGCTCACGTTCACTTCTCGTAAAAAATAATAACGATGGCCTACAATTTCATGATTATTTTTCTTCCAGTTCACGCAGAAACAGTGGTCACGTCGATAACTTGTAATTCTGTTAATTGACGGTGTTCATTAAACTTTCTTTACTCTTATTATAAATTCACCGTCTCTGTTTTCCATACCTATATATATAGCATGTGAGATTCATTTGAAGTATATTTGTGGTCGAAATAAAACATTTTGTGGAACAGATCTAAACTCCTGTTTGAAATATTTTGGATACCTTCACGTTCTACTTGAAAGAAATAAAATTGCAAATTCTTATCTGAAGTTAATTTATTCTAAAAATTGTTGATTTATTTATTTTCATATCAAAATGCCAGCTCGCTCCTTACAGCCTCGGCTTTCCCTCTGTGTTCATTACATTATTATGTTGAAAGCATTTCACAAACATGGACCGCGAAGTGCAGCGTGCTCTCCAATTAAAAGAGTTTTAAATCAAGCTTTTATCCCTGCATAATAAAAGTCGGACAAAAACCTGCACTTCGTTTATTGCTTTACATCGCTAGGTGCAAAATTCCATGGAATAGAAAAGTTCTACTGAGAAGCATGACCGCTTTCTTCCTACATTTTATGAGGTCAGGCTGAACTCGACACGCTGTATACACGATACCGTACGTACAGCCACACCTGCTCGCTGAGATAAATAATAACCTGTAGCCTTCAAAGCTTTTCTTGAGACTCGCTTCGTTGATTACTTCAATTGAACTTATTTATCGCAGGGCTGGAATTTCTAGATTTGTTTGTACTGTTTTTATTATACTTTTAGGCGAATCTAATGATGTGAAATGCCTTTGACTGATAAAATAATAAAAGAATTAAGTATTCTAATTGCTTCTGATGACTATTTTATATATAGTTGTAAAATCCAGCTAACTTTCGATAAATTATTTATAGAAATTTGTCGAAGTTAAGAGAACCAAGTATCTGAGAAGAAATGTGCTTAAAAAACGACGACGCTGTATGAATCATCGGTGACGAAAGTTTATTTTTTAAGTACAACAGTTGCTTCTAATATCCACGAAGTGAATGAAAGCTGTCTTTTTAATGAATTTTACGTATTTTTTTCATTCACTTGATTACTTGTTCACAGCAACGCACAACGTCAGCACAAGCTTCCCATAAAATTTCGTAGCCTCAAATTAAAGTTAGATCTCGTTACCGAAGACCGTCCTAGCTGTGTTCTGCTACTTTTTCATGCACTTGAAATAAAAATATTGAAAAACTTTGATTCACCAGCATCAACATCAATCGTTTATTGCACTCAATTTCATACCATATGAATACTCTAATCTACAATTCGATTCCATTTGAATTATAGTATGAATATTTATCATTTATATACAAATTAAATAATGCAAAGACCGGAGACGGGGCTTCGTGTTGACCTTGTTAATTCTGATATATCCACGTCATAAAAACTACCCTGCCAGTATTTGCTAAAACATATTCTGCTTTGTTGACGTGCAGTGATAATTAGGACAATTTTCGAGTCGAGCTCTCATTTTCGAGTCGAGCTCATATTTTCGAGTAGAACTCTTAATTTTCAGGCTGAGCTCTTATTTTTGAGCTGAGCTCTTATATTAGAGTCGAGCTTTTATTTTCGAGTCGAGCTTTTATTTTCGAGTCGAGCTTTTATTTTCGAGTCGAGCTTTTATTTTCGAGTCGAGCTTTTATTTTCGAGTCGAGCTCTTATTTTCGAGTCGAGCTCTTATTTTTGAGTCGAACTCTTATCTTTGAGTCGAGCTCTTATTTTTTGAGTCTCCCTCAGGGGGGACTTCTGACGCGTGTCTGTTCGCGTCAGAAGTTCTATGGGATTTCGCGAGTCGATATTTTTCGAGTTGAGCTCTCAACTCTTCTTTTCGGGTCGAGGCTCCTACTTGACAGCCACGATACCCCCGACAGATGTTGCATTAATGACCACTTTCCCTGCAAGACTTTTGTCATTACGGGGCAGCGACTGCAAGGCCTTGTGGAGGAAGAAGTTTATCATCTCAAGTCTGTTCTATATGTAGTTGTCATACCGCCACTCATCATGAATGGTTAAAGATCATCTAGAATGTAGATCGTACCTTTAATAATTCTTTCGAGGACAGCTTTCCACCATTTCGTGGGCATTAGAAGCAACTGTTGCACTTTAATCGTTGATATAGAAGAACTAATATTATATTATGGTTCAAATAGTCGAGTAGACGAGGGATAATGCTAGTTATACTCTCTTCAAAATTTTGACGTTGATTCTGAAGAATCTACCTGTAGGAAGAAAAGTGTGCAAATGCTTTTTGTCTAAGGTTAGCAATTGGATTATTGAGATATGTATGCCAAATTCAGCAGTACTCAGTAATATATAGCAGAAATCCAGCGTCATCTGCTCTCTGTTAGAATTTGAGTGCCTTGGACTTCCTTATTGCATTTCGCTGGCCTCTCTTATAATTATTTATTACCCTGCGGCTTTTTAACAAAGTTTTTGTTTAGCTCCTGAGATGACATCTGTGTACAGTTGGTATCTTCGTTGCAACCTGCGTCTGCTGTCAGGATACCTAATATGGCAAGCTTTGTTCCTATATAATACACAACTGTATGCTCATTCATGTTCCTGTATACATAACTGTATGCTCATTCACTCAGCGTGTCGCTGCCATCTTGATTCCCATGTCCTCGTAGATATTTTCTTATCTCCCTGAGCTGTCAGCTGTCATCGCCATTGGCAGGGGCATAGCCATGCCCAATGCATTATCCACCTGCCCATCGGTGATGTTAATGCTGACGTATACATGCAGTCTCGTCTGAATATTCTCAATATATATGCCCACTTAACCTCGCTAGTCGTGCCCAGATAGGCGCCCATATCCTTATTATTTATCATTTTTTTATTGAGTGCACTTATTCTCGCCATTATTAGCGTACTTTTCTTCGCGATATATTTCAACTTATTCCCGATATTTCGGCGTACTTATTTTCGCTCCTCGTACCTAGCAGTCCTTGCAGTTTGGGCGCATTTATTTTCACTATTTAGGCGCACGTATCGTAGATCTTTTATTTTATTTACCCCGATTTGATATGATGAATAAGTACGCGCGGCAGCTCTGCCGTATGCCGGCGTGAAGGTATAAGCAGCATATGCAAGCAGAAGTGAACCTCGCTGTAAAAACTCACAAACGAAACGAAGCGTTTAAGCGCCTTCGTATTGCATGCAATAATTGTGTAGCACACATACGCACGAGAAATGGACAGCCAATCGAGTCTTGTCAACGCGAAATTCATCTTGAGTGTCGAGTCTTCCTGTTTTTGGTTTAAACTTTAAACGATGAGAGTACGAAAGTGTTTTATCTACGCGCATACCTTGCTAAAAAACCGTAGAAATTATTGGTACCAAAGTTGCCGCAGTGCGTAAACGCTGGCATATTGACGAATATGAAGATTACGTGAATGCATTGCGTGTTAGGACGCGTAAATAAGTGCGTATCAGGACTGAGCATGTATGCGCAGCGCGTGCGTTGGCTTGTCATCGCAGAGCTTTCACTCGACCGGGGCTTCGTCTATTGCAGCCCTGCCATGAATTACCGAACTGGAGCGCACGACTTCGCTATAGAATCCTAATCATTTGTATTGGACTTGTCCACGGGGACAAGCCTGTTGCGCAATATGATTTAATATTACCGCAGCTTTCTAAAAAATGTTTTGAAAGTATCTATCCAGTTTAAACTCGTTTCTGAAGGGAATTGATAGTTTAACCTGAAATCTATCGAAATTATCTTAGACAGTTTCGAAATTTGCTGATTGCATATCTGCCTATCATAGTTTGCTATAATGCAAGACAAATAACGAAATTTCTAAAGGCTTACAAGCGGCATTCTCCTCATTCTCTATAGTCACCTATCCTCACTCTACAGAGCAAACTGCATCCTCTACCACCTAACCATACCCTCCACCACCTAACCATACCCTCTACCACTTAACCATACCCTCTACCATCAAGCCATACCCTCAACCACCAAGCTATACTCTCTATCACCAAGCCATACCCTCTACCACCTAACTATACCCTCTACCACCAAGCCATACCTTCTACCACCTAACTATACCCTCTACCACCTAACCATACCCTCTACCACTTAACCATACCCTCTACCACCAAGCTATACTCTCTATCACCAAGCCATACCCTCTACCACTTAACCATACCCTCTACCACCAAGCCATACCCTCTACCACTTAACCATACCCTCTACCACCAAGCCATACCCTCTACTACCAAACCATACCCTCTACCACCAAGCCAAATCCTTATCATTAGTTCATAGTTCTCATCAATAGTCCATAGTTTCACCTGTATGTTGTATGATTGTATAGTATGATTGTTTCCCCTCTAAAATTTGTTAGTCTAATATATTTGCGCCTCCGGATATCACTATCATTTTATTTCAGTTGCTAATTTCTTGTTAGGTAATTTCACTTGCTAATTTCACTTTATTTTATGTAACCGATCAGTTTCTTTCACCTTCTATCCGATTTAAACCCGCTCTTTTCAATTAATAGTTCTGAGGTAATAATATCTGGTAACGATCCAGCGATTATTTCAGTTATAAACAAATTATCGAGTTGGTAATAATTCCGCCTGTATTTTACTGTCCAAGTAAACGTCAAAGCCAAATTGGTAATAATTCCGCCTTGATTTTTCTCCAAATAAACGATAAACTGGTAATAATTCCGCCTTTATTTGTCTAAGTAAACGTCAAACTGGTAATAATTCCGCCTTTATTTTTCTCCAAATAAACGATAAACTGGTAATAATTCCGCCTTTATTTTAGTGTCCAAGTATACGTCAAACTGGTAATAATTCCGCCTTTATTTTAGTGTCCAACCACGCGTCTGGCTGGGAGTCAGCTAGTGGGGAGATCGTGTCGTCGTACCGAGCGTTCTCCCGCGACAAGATCCATGCGAACATCATGGTATCTGTGGGGCTAGACCATGCCAACGTCAGCCTCAGGGTCATACCACAGCACAACAGGTGAGTGTCAACATGCCAGTGTCAGCCTCAGGGTCATACCACAGCACAACAGGTGAGTGGCAACATGCCAGTGTCAGCCTCAGGGTCATACCACAGCACAACAGGTGAGTGGCAACACGCCAGTGTCAGCCTCAGGGTCATACCACAGCACAACAGGTGAGTGGCAACACGCCAGTGTCAGCCTCAGGGTCATACCACAGCACTAAGTTGTGTGCTAATAATGATGCGCCTATCATTCGATTTACATTAATATCAGATAATTTTAAAATTTTCGGACTATTGGTATGGTAAAATTCTAAGTATAGGAATTTTTATCTCCTGGAATCTCCTTAAGTTTTTTTATTTATATCCAACCGATTATTGCTTTGCAGAAAACATGAATAAAATTAAGTTCTTGAAATAAAGGATTGAATTGGTATTTCTAGTTTCTGGCCGTATTTTTGAATGAAATAAACTTCTGTGTCGTGAGCATCGGTCGATATATTAAGCATCAGTCGATATATTATATTACGGTATATATGAAGCTGATTAAGATTACACGAATGTTATGTTCCATAATATGGTTTACAATTTTCACAATCACAGTCGAGGCTCATTAGGTTAATAAACCCTGTTTTGAATCTATACAGAATGTGCTTCTGAATGGTAATCACATCGAAAATTTTCATCTACAGAACACTAGACATCAACTTCAATGAGCGCTTCCATTGGATCAAACCGAACGATCTGAAGGAGCACTACGTAAAGGCGTTAGCCAAAGGCCTACCGTACCCACTGTTGACGGTGGCAGAATATTTGTCGTTGGACAAAGAAGGTTTCTCGTGGGGCCGCAGCTACAGGACTGCCGGCTACTACACCAGCATCATGTTGTGGTCTGCCTTCACAACATGGCTGCTGAGTTGCCTTCTTCTAGTTACCGTGCCACGATACGGAGCCTACCTCCTCGCCATTACTGGTACTCTCATGGGCTTTGCGTGCCTAGTATTCTGGATGCTGAGGCCCGCCACGCCACTCGTCCTCAGGTTCGAGGAGACGGCCATCACGTTCAGCCTGGGCTGGTGCTTCTGGCTCGTCTTGATATGGGGTCAGTTGTGAAACTTCATCAAAATGCTCACTCAAGTATTTAACGAATAAAGAAAATCTTAATTTAACTGTATGATTTTTGATGATATTAAATGCTGAACGATATTAAATGTTGCTGTTGTTTTTAACTAATATTTCATTAATCCATGTGATATTAAATATAAAAACTTTAAAAGCTGCAATGGATAACCTGATTTAATATAATACATAAGTTTATAATATTGTAATTATTTAATGTAATAAGGTTTTGGACCAACTGTTCTTACCAAATATCCGAGATTGTAAATAATGTATAATGAACTTTTCATAGTTTCAGTTTTCCGGCGATTGATCACTCGTTAATTTTCATTAAATTCTTCCACCAGGATGTGTAATCGGAGTTGCTGGCTGTTCCATCGCCACCCTCGACTGGGTGTTCCCTCACAGATTTTCAACAATCTTGGATCTTGATTTCGACACCCCGTACGACCGGCACACGATCATCGAGGACTCGCACGATACCAGAAAGAGAAGGTTCAAGATCCCGCGTCTTGAAGAGCCTATCAACGCTGGTCTTCACGCCGGCTCTCGTCTTCTTAGAAGACTTTCCAAACGAAGCACCAAAGAACCGTCGGCAGGGAAGCACGAAAGCAACCCCGCTGGAGGGCACGATAATCCAACATTCAATATGGAAGAGGCTCCAAAATCATCTTGGAGGACTTCCACTTCTATCTTGCGCACAGATTCCAAAAAGTCCAGCAGGTCTGTCAGATCTGGGAAGTCTGTGAGAGTCAGATCAGACTCCCAAAGATCGAACAATTTTCTCGAGCTGCCGCCCCAGCCTACCGAAGTGGAGGAAAATCGACCGAGTTCTTACGCTCGGTCGGACTCTGAACAGAGCAGAATGTCGATCGGTTCTGGGGGCTCAGATCACAAGAGCGTCAGTTTTGAAGGGGACATTGACGCTAACGAACTTCAAAGCGTCGTTGTCGACGAAGAAAATCATTCAGTTTCGAGGCAAGATTCGACGGAGTCAAGTGCTTCCACTTCATCGTATGGGTTGAAAGCTTTATCGAGAGGCTCTAGTGTCCGAAAAACTACTGGTGGAGCCGAGGAGAACACGCACGAGGGTGTAACGCGCTCCACATCTGCCAACATAATCGTCTTCCATCGAACTGATTCCAGAGGACAACTCCAGAGGTATGCGTGATACAAAGTCTCAACGAGAGTGAAATGGGCAGAAAATAGCAGTATCTTCGTAACGGGTAGTTGAGGCCTACATTAACCCTGCATTGATATTCTTTCATTATTCTTCCTGTAAAAAAAAAATTTGTGAGTGCCAACGATTATACTGACTTCGGCATGGATGACTTAACCAATTGAATTGACTACATGAAAAATTAGAAATGAGATGATTTCGATATTAATTCATGAAATTAATGTATAAAATTTTAACTTTGCATCTATCTCTAGATCCATCATAATATTCTCTTTCTCTGATTTCAGGTTATCAGGAGAAGTGGTTGAGATCCAAACAGATGACTCCTACGAGCCCTGGTAATCATGGCTTCCAGTTCCCTATTTATCTTCCCATTATTTTTAGCGCATCTCCATGACATGACTGGAGGTAACTGGTCTGATTATCCCAATGACTTTCATACATGCACAGTAAACACGAGGGGCGTGATGTGCGAGAAGGCCTCTGCTTTTTCTGTGAACGAAATAAGATAGCCGAAGTCAACAGGAGCCGCGCGGTTGTTGACAATTCATGACTTGGTTTTAAACTATTAGAGTATTTTTGGAATTTATCTTGTTTATAATCTTTGGCCTTAAGGAAATTAATCGTTTCACCTTGTCAGGGTTTTAGCGTGCAAAAGTTTTTAAATCGTCTGCTTGTCTACAGTCGTTTGATCGGAATTGAACATCAGGCTGATAGGAGTTTCGTGTGCAGATGTATTTAGGACCGTGTCATTTAATTAATGTCGCTCCAGATGAACGGCGTGATGTGTAAATTGGAATGCATCTGTGATGAAAATGTTGTTCAACAACATATGCATTATTTTTAGATTTAAGTAGTTAGCTCGTAGCAAGAAGAAATGTCGTATTTCTAAATAGTAGTGAATATATTCCAGTATAATGAATTTTTTCCAGCGATGTGGTGGAGTAGAACTGATGTGCAGCACCTGATGATAAAACAGGTCATCCAGTTTTAGGCTTCGTTTGCGCGTTTTATTGCGAATTTGTGTGCAAAGTAACACGTTCGCCTCTTCCAATATTTTGTACAATTTTAACAATAATCGCGATTTTTAGGAAGAGTGAACTCTATTGCAAGTTTGGCTTCTCGAACTTTATAGTTGAGATCGGAAGTGCTGGGCCAATATTTAAAATATTTAAACTATTATTTTAAATTTGTTAATGTACTTAATTGATCACATTTTAAACTGATGCCTTGTACGAAACTGGCGAGCTGTTTTTATTTAGGTTGATTTTTTACGAAAAATAGCGCTCTGCCATTTTATGCGCACAATCAGTCCCGTGTTGCGAACTAAGAACTGCTTGCCTCATATTGTTATATTAAACGTTTACAATGAAACTGCATTCTTACTTTACCTTTTTGCTCATGTTGCTGAAATTGCCAAATTATGGCAATAAACACTTACAACGAACTCGCAGAAGCTCATGGTCGAAGAAAAATATGTAGAAGACGGGATTTGGAAACATTGTGGAAGAAAACTTATAGGATAGACTCATCTGTCTTGATTCAGATGAGTCTAGTCCGCAATAAACCTAAGATACTAGTCAATTACACCGACATGGAAGAGAAAACATCTGCATTTGACGGTATATTAGAAATGAACAGGAAGATTTTGGAGCATTGAATTACTGCGCCTGGTGTCAATGTCAATCCCAGTCAAGCTTCATCAAGAAATAAATAATCGAGTATTCCCATTAATTTGCATTTCTCGTTAAAGCAAGTGAATATACAATGAAATAGCTAAGTTTAGATGACTGTTGAATTTGTGAGAATTTCGTAGCGCAGCCGAAAATTTATATAATTAATATAAATTATTAATTATAGGATAATATAAACATTTAGTTTTAAAACAAGCCCCAGCTTTCTGTTATGTTCATACGAAGTCCTCACTTGAAACTCTCATAGCTAACAGAGCGATGGTATATATATTATATTTTACCTAACATTAAGCCAACGAAACCAAGCATCAAAACTGAGGCTTGCGACCATCGTCAAACTGTTGAGACGGTAAGTACTTGAGACAAAGTTGCTCTGTGTTCATGTCTTTCTCGACCTGCTGGCTTTATTCACATTTGTGTTGAATCAATAATTATCGTGGATCCGCTATGAACATTTTACCTGCCCTTTTGAAGGAGACATTGCTTGATTAGATCCTAGTCAGTTGAACCTCCAACATTTGTTCAATTATTTCACTACACAGAATTAGGAACAGGCTAATGCCGAGGGACAACAACGACACCAAACGAAATTCAAAACAAAGTCGTCACAAACAGCCATCCGATAGCTGCAGACGATATTTTCGCCAATTAATCTTAAGTGATCAATTTTAAGACATGTCCGGGTCCTGCGAATCCGATTCATCTGACATCATCTGACAACATAATCTGCTAGTTTTACTTTTAAAGTGACATAGAGGCATTGTTCATACCAATAATATTATTAATTCATGATCATTTACAGCAAGTCTTCCAAAACTTTTGTTAATGATCGCCATGTCCTGTATAGTCGCTGTCCTCAATTGCCAACAAATATTACAAATTAAACGATAATAAATGGTAATGGTTGCATTATATTTTGCCTAATGCACTAATAATTTGATAATTTTATAAACTTAGAGTTTGAATGACTTGGCTGGCCACTGACTATTACCTTGTGACGACTGTTCAGTACATCTTTTAGATTATCTTGAGTCAGGCAGCAAACATTTTGTGAAGTGGCAAGTACTAAGAAACCAAAAATCGTTCATACCCAGTAAGTATTTGCGTCCCACTAATGGGACGAGAATCCGACTTTGGGAGCTACTGCTTTGGTACCATTCATTTTAAATAACACTTTTTTAAAATAATGTCTTATAATCTGGGTACCGATAACAAGTAAACATCTGAAAAGCTAACAAGGCTATCAACGACACCATAGGATATGCTTGGCTTAATTAAATATAGGCGAATCTACGGGTATTATCGATACATTGACTTAAAATTACATACGATATATCTTTCTGAACAACGATGATCAACGTCGTTATTTCAAGGCCAAGTACAAAAATATTGTCAATAGATGGAAGGAAAATATGTAAAGACGTCATAGCCTTAATTCGACGTATGTCTCACTTTTTTAATGCTGAAATATTGCATTTATTAAAATTTCACCCTTAGTAGGCATTAGTACTAAATTTTTTAAAAGGCAAGGAAATAGGCTTCACAGGCTGAAATGCGCTATATAATGGAATTTTTTCGTTCACAATACACTGATTGAAACTAGGTTAGTCAAATAAGATAGTCAATAAAAACAGTAAAAATACTAATAGTGAATAGATCAAATATATTCTGCTGCCCTATGAAGGGTTCAACCCAAGGGCAGAAAAAATACAAGAAACGAGTTTTAATATTTTTCGTTCACTAGAAAATTCATTTTTGATGATAACATTAAATTAAAAATTATCGATCGTTTTCAAATATACTAGGGCTTTTAGTGATTGAAGCAAAATTCAGAGCAACAGAAATTTTTCACTTAATGACGACCGTAGTAGAAAAATATTGTCTTTATTATCCACAACGGAATTAAATATAATGCTTCATAAGATGTACAGTTCTAGTTATAACTTCGTAGTTCTTATCGTATTAAATCGTTCTCTAGGACTATACCTACGAGCTCGAAGCCATTATTGTTCAAGTTCTGAAGTACATTGTAAGGGATATAATACAGATAATTCATTTCAGGTTAGGATCATGTTTCTTTACACTAAAATGTGAGCAGATATACGCCGCTAGAGAAAAGCGTTGAGAGATGGTTAAGTCTATGTGAAATAAATGGTTTTAGTCGTCGTTGGTAAAGATATAAGTATTGGTTGAAATTTAATACGTATATTTATATAGGCCGTTGTTTGTAAAGTGTATAAGTATTGTTTGGATTTTAATACAGGCCGTCTTTTGTACAGGGTGTAAGTACTGGTTGAAATTTAATGTAATCCTTTGTTGGCAAATGGTATAGGTATTGGTTGAAATTTAATACAGGCCGTCGTTGGTAAAGGATGTAAGCACAACAGGAAATTCGAGGATGAAGACAAATGATTACAAAAATTTAACTATTTCATCGATGCCGAGCGAAAAATTATCACGATGAACACAAACTTGAAAATTCATTTCTGCTAAAAGAACCTCTAAAAAATATTAAGTCATTGTTTGGGTCACATTTGTCTAGTGAATGGAAGTTAAATCCTGGCAAAAGGTATGTATGTAAGTATGTTATATGTGTTTCTTTACTAGACATTTCACGTAACTGCAATCATTTTCCAGATATTGCACATGAATGGCTTCACAAACATCAGTCTCATATTTAAATAGGAAATTTACATGGCATTTGTGTTTATTTTTCATGTTTCGTTAATTATTCAGACTATCAACGTCCCAACAGGCACCGTGTCGACGTTATGAACAGTTACTGATGAATCATAATAAGTAATTTTAAGCGATCGATTACATAACATTTTTCAACTAATAGAAGGAGAGAAGAAAGTGTTTCAGAAGCGTCGAAGTTTAGAAGAAATTCGAAGTGACGGAGGCTCATAAAAACTACGTTTTTTGTTGCTGATTGCAAGCAAATACAATCTCTATCACTTTATTCGTTTAAGTGGAAGATTAGATTTCACACAACAGAAGCACCTGTAATTACAATTTAGATGTTATTTCTGTTCCACCTACGCGTATATATGGTGTAATATTGCAAAGTCTTCGGAATATAGCAAAATATGTGTGGACGACACAGGAACTGACATTATACGAACCGCAAGAGCAACACAGGCTTGAAAAATAGTATCGTTCTCACTGACGAGGTAGTTTAATGTATAGGGTATAGGCTCATTGGATTATATGTAAAAAGAATATTGAATATGTAAAAAGAATATTTTTCTAGTGTGCCAGCATTCATAATTTATTGATGATTCATGCTAAGAGATCCAAAGTGAGCTGCTAAGTAATTTCAAGAAGCTTCATTTGGTAAGGGTGGAAAATAGCAATCAATAATATTCTATTCATAATAAATAATATCCTATTCATAATGCAATGATTTTATTCAGATCCTGAATCTACTTAGCACATTGTGAACTATTCGTTTCAATGATTGTGCCAAGTTCTGTTGTCTTATAATAAACATTCAACATTAACAAAAAGTTCTTATTGCACCTGATACCTACCTAAATATCTACGCAATCTCACTATCAAGTCATTTTAAAGCAGCATCAGCGACCGTAACTATAAACATATACGATAGTTGTCACCAGCAACTTGTTTCAGTAGTTACCTTCAAGTATTTTATAGTGAACATATTTTCCGTCTATAAACACCATGCATTGTTCGTTTTCAGTCAGAAATCTACAGATTTTCCTGGTTAACTTCTAAAATTATTTTATACACGATAGACAATATAAACAGGTCACTCGGAATTTTATACATTAAAACCGAGTTCTCCACTCGTTGTTGGTTCTTCATCCATCAGAACCACTGCATCAAAAACAAAGCAGTAGAACTCTATGCTATGTATTGCATTTGTCAGTATTTTTCAGTTTAATCCAGGCTATCCTCATCTTTTTGCGAATAACATTTGCATTTGAAACTTTTTGTTCTGTAAAGAATTAACAAATATCATTTGCGTTGATATAATTTATCTGCCTCATTCCATCAATAGATATTCATTCTGCCCAGATGAGTCGACACGCATTTCGAGCCAGCATCATTGCCGAGCATTCTTACTCGCAATTTAATCCAAACTGTTTTATCAGAATCTATCGCATCAAAGTATAGTGTAGCAACACTATCCCATAAATGTATAGCGTAGCAACACTGGAGCTCAACATTACCATTACATGCAATTCGTGATTCGAGGGTATGTTTTCCTACAACTAAGAAAAAAAAGGTTAATTCATTAGAGTGACTGTCTTGAAGAATTGCTTCGTTGCGAGGTGTGAGCTCAATGGAAAGTTTTGTACACACCCACGATAATAAGCACCGTGACCATCGTGAGTACAAGTAAGGTAATCAGTTTAGCTGCTCTGTTCATGCCGTTGTTCTCCTCACTGAACGGATCCCGAGGTCTGGGACGATCAAGGGAATTTTGCACCAAGTTGGGGAACGCCAGTCGTTGCGTGAGTGTTAGTCGGGGTATTGCCTCGGGGATGAGGCCACTCATCCCCGCTGAGTAGCTCCCCCTGGGGTGTGGGGAAGCCCTGCCGTAGTACTGCCACCCGATGGGACAGTCGTTCTCGTAGTCAGGGTCGTAGTCCATGCTCATGTAGGGGATGGGTGAACGGGTGAGGGAGCGGAGGCTTAATAGTGACGGTCGCCGGGACTTGTTGGAGTCACCTGCGCAATCGAGTTTTTTATTTTATTTTTATCAATTTAATTGAGTTTGGTATAGTTTAGAACGAATACCTCTAGTGGATACTTATGCAGTTATTAGGACACACTTATTAGAGTCGCCTGAAGAATCATACCTCTAAGTTTTTTTTAATGAATTTACACATTTGAATTGCGTTTCGTTTTAGTGCGAAACGCGCACCAAAGGCATTTGCCGTCGTTATTGTTAGAGCTAGAAATGTTTGCATTAGAAATGTTAACATTTTGGCCTGGACGTCAGATATTGTCGTTTCTTCTGATGCACCGTTTCTATTTTTCAGGTAATTCTGCCACACAAGTCTAATTTTTACCCCCACTATTGACTCTGATCTTAAAAGTTATTATTTATACTCCTTGCGAGCCGTCTAGGCTTTTCTCTCCATTGAACATGTAACCGGACGCTCCAAACGTCATAGATGGCCACCACAAAATGGGCGGAACGCCGGTCACGAACGTTTAATCTAGTAGTTCTCTTAGAACAATCGGTGTAACAAAAACACAGTTTTTTCGTTGTCAACACTGCGACTTAAAACCACTTTTATTTGACTCAAACTTGGCACTTTAAAACCAGGAACTTAACAGTTATAGTTTAAAACAAATAGACAAAGAACGTAGCTTGTATACGTTCAATTCAGTAAGGAAGATGGCACACTGCGGAAACATGAGCAGAAACCGTATCAGCACAACTAGTCCGTAACCAGACAGTAGCTGCAACAATATTGGCACAAGCAAATAACTGTTGCTGAACGGCTCGCAGGACACAACTGCCTAGCGACAAATTCAACCGCCCTCGTCACTTCTCTCTGAAGCCGAGAAGGTCGGAAGTCTATGTGATGGAACCGGCCTCACTGAGAGTTCATCAACGCGAATATGTACATTTTGCCACTGATAAAGAAATTGAAAATAATATATAAAAAAATATCGTGAACGATTTCTCAATCGTTCACAAACATGACAAATATAACGTTTGACCTTGTTAGTTTGAATCCCAACCTGAACTTGAAATAAAAATCATATTAATATAAGGTAAGTTTTATATATGCCTATTTGTTCTAACCTGGGACAGTTAGCCTGGCTTGACCGCTTGCTTTCTCGGTGGCTGAGTTTGAGCGCGCGTGTTTGAAGACACAGAGCGACCGACTGGCCTGCACGGGACTGTGTCGGCTCGGCGGGTCGCCCGCCTTCAGCGTAACTGAAGTATCCTGCCGCTGCAGCAACGATCCTGCACGCAATTATCACTCATAAATATAGAGAAACAATGATCATTTACAATTTAGATTGATTAAGCAAGAATTTTAAAACAGAGAAAATGCAATGTAAATTTATTATAATGAGTAAATTTTAATTCATTACAAAATAATATTGGCATACTTGAGTAATGAAGAATTTGTAAATAATTGTTGTAAAATTATTGATATAAATATTCTTTATTCATTTGAATAGTGTGTTCGGTCTCCTATTATGTTTTTTCGCCATTTATGATTAGTTCTAATTTTTTTTGTTCATTCGCAATTTGCAGAGGGCTCCGAAACTTTAGTCCGAAGTTGAGACAAAATCGCGATTCAGTACACAAGGGTTTTGGCTAGGAAGATACACGGCTGATTTATTAGTTTATATTGGTAAATTATTTATTATTATACTTATTTACTTATCATTCTTATTTATTCATTGGATGATCCCCAGCAGTATCTTAACAAATAATCATAATGATAGTAAAATCCCATAGTATATTGATAAATAAAGTGATAAAAAGCTTTTCTGTAAATAAGAATTAGCACAAGAATCCTGACCAGGCCTGTGCTGGTAGCTCTCCTGTCGTTGAAGTGAATGGTTTGAAGAGATCCAAGATGGCGCGGGTGTCATGGTGGCGTCGTTGAGAGAAAATACTGATTGTGAGCCTCCTTCGTAGTCGAGGTCGCTCAGCATGCTGTCTGAACGCCATGAGTACTGTGGCAATTGTTGATGTTAGAGATATGCCTTGAAGGCTTGCATGAATTACGAAGCTTGATGTAAAAATATTGAGTTTTGCCCAGTATCTCGATGCCAAGAAGCATGCTTGTTATGCAAAAATTCTGGTTGAAGATTGTGAATATCAATAATATTGAAACATGTCTATAATCAACATAGAGCAACTGGGCCTGCTTTGAAAGAGGAGCAACACTCTGCATTGCACGATCACTCATCTAAGTTCGATTGACATTTTTCTAAAACCTTCACTTGCAAGGTTCTTTCTCTATCCTAAAATAATAATTCAATAACCTGTGAAGCATTTTCAATATGACTTTGATAGATAAATTTGCATGCTGATACATGATCTATACTTTCTTTAACAAAATGTCTTGCGAGATGAAAGCTAAAATATATTAAATATAATTTTTATTTTAAATTATAACAACTGCTGCAACACAACTAGGAAAGTTTCTTTTACATAGATCTTCTGCTTCCAACATTTTAATGATGAGATTTTCCAAGGAAGCCGCCGGGCATTATCAATGAAAAAATTAATATTTTCAAGAAAAACTAAGATTTTTGTCAAAATTATTAGCATTTTTTAATGGATAATGAGAGATTCTCAATGAGAATAATGTATTTAACCTCGTAATTACCTCAGAAATATCACTCTTGTCATCAGAAGCGGAGCGTTGCGTTGGGTCATAACTCCCCTTCCTCCTGAGCATGCGGCTGAGCCCCAAGCTGTGGGACGGTCGAGTCACCCGCGGGTGTGGGGCGTGTGCGGACAGGAGGCTGTTGGGGGACAGTGTGTTGGGGGCCAGGCTGGGGGAAGGTGTTGATGTGTCGGCGCTCCCAAAACTACACTGCCACTCGGTGCGGTTATCTTCATTCTGCAAAAACTTTCAGATTAAAAAAAATGAATTTTTGGAAAATAAATTTTGAGGATATATGCGAACTATGTATAACTAAAAGATATATTTATACGTTTTAGTATCTATTTTTGTACTATCTGTTTGGATTTTTCAGGTTCTAGAATTTGAATGAATGCAATCACTACAAATTTCATTTAGTTCGCCTGCTTCAATTTCTTTCAGTATTCAGTAAATCATTTGATAACATATTGTTCAGAGTAATATTATATTTTTCAGCATTCATTCAACTCCTAAATGCCTCATGTGCATTCAGGCAATCATCGGCATCTTCTTACTGCATATTTTCTATATTTTTGACATACATAATTTCTGCAACATAAAAAAGTTTCGAAAAAAATGCGGAAAGGAATATAAAAATATACAATTATATTTTCCCGACCCTCCTGCAGAAGAGTACAACATTATCAGCGAACGAACGAGTGCATTAAGTCGAAGGAAAGTTTATTGCACTCGACCGTACGATCTTCACTCAGAAAACATATCAATATTTCACGCCGGTCCTTTACTCCAGAGTGACTCATAATTCGTTAAAGCATCTGTTTGTTATAATTAAACTTTACTTGAAAATTTACACTAAAAATTTGATGAAAGTATATCGTCCCTAAATTTTCATCCTAAAATTTGAGCATCCGTTCACTAAAAAGGCTGAAAACTCGTCACCTTAGCAGCCTGATCAGCGGCGGCAGCAGCAGCAGCAGCGGCCGCCTCTACTTCGTCCAAAACGGCGTCCTGCCTGCCCAGTTCTGCTCTGCGGCTGCCCTGCGCGGAAACATAGCATCAAAAAGTGATGTAAATTAATGGTAAAATAAATGTTATTTTAAGTCAACCCAGACATTGAAATTTTTCGGTTAGTTGCACCAGTTTCAGGTCGGTGAAATAAGATTTACTTTATAATATTTTACTGATTTATTACTAAAATCAATGTTGACAACCCGTGCGAGCTTGCAGAAAGAAAGTACCAATTATATTAATGCAATACTGAAATTGTACCGCTAGTCTGCCACTTCTCACGTCGCCATCACCTCTCTGCGTCACCATTTACGTTATCAATAATTCAAGCATAAACATAACTTAAACAAATCAAAGCTTCATGTTCCATGATCTCAGCATTACAGTCGTCAGTTGCATAATTTCTGTCGATATTGGAATAATTATGACAGAAAAATTTATACTTTTCAACTCAAACATAAAAGTCGTGAAATACGACATAATTTTTGTCAATTTGAATAAATTAATATGTTTTAACATGATTTCCGGTAATATTGACTTTATTCAAATTCCACGCCCCTAATCTCTTCATTATTTAAGTCATTACTTTCTTCTTTCCAATTACCAAAAATCTTAAAATTATTTTTACAAATGCAAACAATTTCTCGTAATATTCCAAAATTATTGCGGGCCTTACAATCAATGGTACCTCATATAATAATTTTAGCGAACAACTTAATGCGTTCACAGTTATGGCTCATGATAAAATCTCCACAATCTTGTAAACATGACCACCATCTTGTTAACATGACCACCATTTTCACCATCTTGTTAACGTGACCACCATATTTACCATCTTGTTAATGTGACCACCATATTCACCATCTTGTTAACATGACCACCATATTCACCATCTGCTAGTTCTGTAATTCCTGTCAGTGGCAATCTTGGCGTAAAGCGGCCCTGCGCATGACACGGCAGGGCTCACGATATCGACAGTTGGGAGGCTTGAACTCGCTCTTAAGTCTACGGAATTCAAGACGAACATTTCAGTATGTACTCGTTCATGCATAAAGTCTACGGGTTCAATACGAGGTTCTCATCAGATATAATTTGCAGCTATTTGTAGCTAGAGTGCAAAAATTTAGGGATTTTTGAACCTCACGATGATTTTTATCATTAACACGATAAAGTTCAGAATCTTGTTGAAATGCTAAAGAAAAACTAAAGAATCTAAATAAACTGAAGCCGATACTTTCCACTGGTTTCCCCAAGAAAAATGCAATGAACTTGAAACAAGTAATGTTTATTTAATCACGCATTTATGTTACAAGGAAAGACTCGCCAGTACAGATTTCTTTATTACAGCCACAAGTGAATTAATATATTCATGAATAAAAACTGGTTTCACGGCGAATAACATCTGTCTTCATATAAATTTCAATGATTTCATTCTGTTGTTCAGATTCTGTTCAGCAGTAAAAATAATTCTTTTTCTCCATGAAGCCAAACATCGCTTATTGCTCAAGATTTCTAGAATTTCCCGCCAAATCGCGTGCCCGTGGCTAGACCAAACTCTACAAAAATATTTATTCGTTAAATTCCTGAAGGAAATTAAGACGCCGAGTTCCCGGTGCAAGAATCTCGCCTCGACGTAAGCATTCATAGAGGCACGGCAATCTAAGCGAGAACCGCATGAATGTTACATCATAAAATTCCGATCTCAGGATCAGAAAATAATTTGGAAAATATTATACTTTTATACTCCATTATTGCTTTAATTTTTTTACGTTTTTATGATATTATTGTTACGGGGCCAGTATAAATGAAGCTATAACTTGTTTCAGGGCCAGTATAATATTGTTACCGGGCCAATGTTAAAAGGGCCAATGTTTCAGGGACAATATAATATTGTTACCATAATATTGTTGTGTTTAAATAGAGCAATAACTTGTTTCAGGGCAATATAATATTGTTACAGGGCGAGTATAATATTCTTACGGGGCCAGTATAAATAGAGCAATAACTTGTTACAGGGCCAGTATAGATAAGGCATAACGCAAGAGCTTAACCTATCCACAATAACCCACCTGTTCGTCGCACTTCTCGCGGTTCGACACCAGCAGGAGAATGAAGCCAACCTACGCTTACAGGCAACCTATATTACGATTAATAACCTATAGAATATAGATAACCTGAACAACAAGAAGATTAACAGGTTGCGTTTGAGTTGAAGTTTTAACTTTATATTTCGGTGGTCCCTCCATACGCTGTCTGGCGCAGACCGAATGTTGACGTCATTTGTTCCTACTTCGCACTCCTGGCTGGGTCCTTCCGACTACATCGTGTGTACGTGTGATTCATTATGGTTAAAATATATACAATATTTCAGGCTAATGAGGATAAACTAATGAGAATAAACTAATCGCAGTCACCAACCTGCACATTGAGTCGGTCCTGGTGAGTGAGTTTGGGACGAGGCGTTAACAGGTGGTTGTAAGACAGCGGCCAAGTGGGTTGTTTCCCAACAGGACTTTTTGTTCCGTTTGAGCCTGTCGAAATTTAAATTAATCAAACTAAAATGCTTTCCTGATATATGATCCTCAGGTACCTACAATTCATTCGTTAGAAGAAACACTTTAGGCCAACCATTTTTATTTCCCCATTGCATTTTAGGCCAACCTTTTTCATTTCCCCATTGCATTTCAGGCCAACCTTTTTCATTTCCCCATTGCATTTTATGTCTTTCGCATCGATGCGCGCTATTGCATGACGGCTTAGGCGATCACACAATTCTGCGGATCGGCAAACGCCAATCCGTAGCAAAAAAAAAATCATAACAGAGCCCCGGTGTTGCGGGTGGCTTAATATCAGAGTTGCAAGGCAGGATTTAGCAAGCCTTGCCAAACAGATTGGGACAAATGAGATTACATGCAAGCGCCCAAGCCTCGTATTGCACGAGCATGTCCAGAGAATTGTGAAGCCTTGACGTGCTGGAGACGACATCTGCTGGTGTAATGAAGTGATGTGATGTGATGTGATGAAGTGATGAAGGGTTGAGGTGGAGGAGGTAACACCTGTTGGTGTACTGAAGTGAAGAGAAAGTAACACCTGCTGGTGTAATGAAGAGGATGTAACACCGGCTGCGATGTGATAAAGGGCTGAACGGAAGGTAACACGAAGAGTGAAAAAAGATATTTGAGAGGATTCCTCTTACCCTTCTGATGAAGGGGTAAGTTTAAAAAATCGAATGAGTATTGGGTTTATTTCATGATATGTTGATGGTTAGACAAGTAATTGACGACATTGATGAAGTGTTGAAAATACCGCAATGGAGTGATACAAGGAACGAATGCTAGCACTCTCAAAAATTCAGTAATTCATCTGGGCAAGAAAAAGTCATGAAACATGTAAAAATAGAGACATAAAAATTAGCGAAATCATCTGCTAGTCTAAATCACATATTGCAAAAATTGGGCCGATCGCATATTAAAATGACTCAAAATAGTTGAGTAACATTTGCATAGCTTGCACTTCAAAAATAATTTATAAATTTGATCTGAGACGGATTTTTCAACTTCTAATTTTCTTCCTGATGTAATTACTGACAGTACGAAAAGTTACGGTAAAAAGCTATTGTACATCTTCATAGGATAATTTATCTGTATTACTCCCTTCAATTTTTGTACCTGTTATTGTTTGATTATTTATATCAAAACTTGCATAAAACTCTAAAAATTTCTGATTTCTATAGACCATTTGCTATGAAATATTCTCACATGTATGAGTATTTGTTCTTTAGTTTTATCGCCGTTGCACGTCATGTGCTGAGGTAATGAATGAATTAAAATGAAAAACCTTGTAACGTAAATTATTATACAATAGGCCTGCTGAGTCTACCAGCAAAAGCTCAGCATTGTCAATATAAATACTAATGGTATTTTATTCCTTTGAGTACAGCTTCTAGATTACGTACGGAGCCACAATTTTTAATCAAAGTGGTTTCACACTTTGTTGTCATGTCAACTTTACGACGCATTACATTACTTCACGCATCCATTAGTTGCTGCATGCACCACTCTGGCTGCTAGTGTTCAGTTGCTGCATGCACCACTCAGGCTGCTAGTGTTCAGTTGCTGCATGCACCACTCTGGCTGCTAGTGTTCAGTTGCTGCATGCACCACTCTGGCTGCTGGTGTTCAGTTGCTGCATGCACCACTCAGGCTGCTAGTGTTCAGTTGCTGCATGCACCACTCTGGCTGCTAGTGTTCAGTTGCTGCATGCACCACTCAAGCTGCTAGTGTTCAGTTGCTGCATGCACACTCAGGCTGCTAGTTCATGCACCGTGCTGAGGCTCACTAAGTAACTAGTGTAGCCCACCTGTCACGTCAGCAACAGGTGGTTGAGGTTCTGCCTTACGGTGCTGGTTGGTCACGCTAGTCGTCCCGTCAGCTGGTGCTGGCCATCTGTTGCCTTCGCTGGCGCTGCGGTATATCACGCGTGGCTGATCCAGCTGGATCCTGAGGACAAATAATTACCTAAAATTAAATTAATGTCTTCCGTTTACATTACCTAATGTCAACGCAGGAAATAAAAAAATGTGAATGATAATTACCGATTTTCTATCCGTTGTTCTATCATAAATCTACCTATTTATTTCATCATCACAATTTAGAGATCGCCATGCACGAGGATTATATATATCGTCGCAATTTACGGCGATTGTCACTATAAATATGAGCCAAAGTGAGCACTCTCCTAAATGAGCCTCTGTTGCGGGGCTGGCTGGTGGGAGAGCATATGCATAATTTTGCTAAGAATTAGGCTGAAAAAATTGGGCCGCAAAAAAATTCACATTGTCAACTCTCCATAAAATGAAGAAAATATTGAGGTATCCTGTATGCCAATAGAAATATCAAATATGAGTATCCAGTTTTCATACAAGTGGGGATTCCATTCAAAAAGGCACTAGCAGAGTGGATATATAAATACATTTTTGATAACTTAACAGCGAAGCTTTATTTACATATACTGAGGTCAAGTAGACTGTGAACATTAGAGCGATGAAGCACGACGAAGGTCTAACGAACTCTTTCTCGTTGTCCTACTAACTATCGTGGAGCCAACAATTACATATATTATAGTATAAATTGACGTTTGTCCGTATATTCTGAGTCTCTAAATGCAAACACCTATTTGTATATTAAGTTTTGAACCTAATTACGCACATAGACGCTATAAAAAATTCATTCTTTTGAAGCGGAAGTTGCAAGTGAGTTCCTGCCGGAGGGGCGTATGATGATAATGATTTACGGTGATGGTGATTCACGGCGATAATGATTTAAGATAATATAATTTGCGAATATGAAGCATCACTTCTCGAAAATTTTATAATCATCAACAAGTCTCGTGCGTGTCTACTTGGTTTGTGCCCTAAACCGAAAATGTTAAACCGAACAACTAACAGATCGAGCCTGTCAATGTGAAGGCTCCCAACAGAGTCTGTTGATTCTGTACCAACGGAAAATTCCTGAATTTTGTGGATATTTTCCCGGACGACGCATCCATTAATCATGGTCGCCGTCCGTCGCTTTAGCGAGCTGATGGCATCCATGGCATCAGGAGAAATATTCAGCGCTAACTAAAATAATTATTCATTCTTGGATCACATTTATTATGGCTTGTTTGGTATTTAGATGTAGTTTTAATCGATAACATTGCAATCATTTAAAATTTCCTTGGTATTATTTACCTAACAAGGAGCAAAGTGAATGCCAGAATAAACTGGATTAAATTTAGTTAACAAAAATAAATTCTAGAATGCAGATATTAAATAAATAACTAGAGATTAAGAGAGTTTTTTGTGCTCTATAGAAATGAACAAAATTAAAGCTAGCACTGCTCTCAATGATCGTAGTATTTCGAGTCAACCCAACAAGACCAATGCGTGCACCACGCTATATATATTTCTGTCTCACTAGATTCAGTTTCAATGCAAATATCGAAAGTTTAACAAAGAACAAGTAGCATAACTACGTACAACAGTAAAAGAGTGGATACAGAATAATGATGAGCAAATAAAGCCTTACTTGATCTAAAATTGATGCTCTGATTTGATTAATTCATCAAACTTGTTAAATTAAGAAAGGCCTCACAGTAATTACTTTACGCAATACAATTGCTATATGGAACACTACCAGTGTATGCAGGATGATCAAGAACCAATTGGTTCGTCATAAATTGACTTTTACCAACGAGTTTCTATTTTTCATTATCACGCAAAGAGTGTAAATTGGCGGCGCAGTCTTATGGGCGCTGATGGAAAGTAAACTAAGCCATATGGAAATCGTGTGTACATCATATGGATCTTGTGTGCGTACCATATGGATCTCGTGTGTATACCATATGGATCTTGTTAGTATACATATGTATCTTGTTTGTATGCCATATGGATATTGTGTGTATACCGTATGGATCTTGTTTGTATACCATATGGATATCGTGTGTATATCATATGGATCTTGTTTGTATACCATATTGATCTTGTTTGTATACCATATGGATCTCGTGTGTATACCATATGAATCTCGTGTGTAAACCATATGGATCTTGTTTGTATACATATGGATCTTGTTCGTATACATATGGATCTTGTTTATATACCATATGAATATCGTGTGTATACCATATGGATCTTGTTTGTATACCATTTGGAACTTGCGTTTATACCAAATGGATCTCGTGTGTATACCATATGGATCTCACGCTGCCCTATGGACAGTTTGATGATGTCTAAACTACACCTCAGTCTGGCGCTTGCCTCCAACAAGTACAGCACTTCAGACTTGTTATCTACGTCTGGCATGTCTAACTTTACTTGTGAATGCCGTGCACGTTGCGCTCATACACACGTAGCAGATTTAACCTGTTACATTCAGGCTGTTGCTTTGAAGGAAAAATAATTATAAACATTATATTACTATTAAATTAAATTAAAAATTTAATTACATATAATTATATATTTAAATTTAAATTATAAAGCCAGTATGAAATTCGTTCGATCTAATGGAGAATTCAGGCTATTCAGGACAGTTACGGCACTTGGATTTAAAATTTTAAAACAAATTTCTGATTCTTAATGAGATTCAAATTTAAATTTTTTAAAAATCATAAAGCTTATACAACTGTAAAACGCACATCTAAATATTTTATTGAGATGAAAACAATTCAATGTATGAGAAAAATTTATCTAATTATAAAAATTCGAAGCCCTTTAAAAACTTCAATCATTTTTGTTTTTTCCGTGTGGTGTTTTCTTTCTTCATCAAAAAATATTTCAAAGGCTTGAGCAGCCTTACCGGACTAGCTTCGATCAACATATATAATGCCTCAGCTTGATATTTCATCCGGAATCAAGAACTGAAACAAGCTAGCAATTGCTTGCTTATAAGACTGTCCTTATATAGCAAGCAATTACTTGCTTATAAGACTGTCTTATATAGCAAGCAATTGCTAGCTTATAAGATTGTCTTCAGATCCTGTCGTCGATATACCGACGCAGAACATCGAACACAGAAAAGCTCTACGGCCAACACAAGAAACTGTGGCGCTGCTCAGGCCAAGCTGCGCTCCAGAAACAATTGAACATCAAACTTTCTTTAATTGAGTGGTGTACAATAGAATAAAATAAATATCTTATCAAATTCTCAATAAAGTAGAATTTTCTACATGTATACACTTTGCCCATTGTTTGTCTTATTTCACTTCCAAATTTCAAATTTAAATGTTATAAAAACTTCGCTTTCTTAAAAACGTATACTAAATATTTGAAACGCCGTTTTCCAGTAAAATTCCAATTGGTAAATTTACCTGCATTTTTATCTACCAGCTCAGGCTAAAATTTTCGTCTGACACATTAAAAAAATAATAAAAAGCCTGCTATATGGTCTCCAATCAATTTTGCATAAATAGAATAAAAAAGCCAGTGCAGGATTGATATCAATGATGCATAGATTTTGTAAGTTATTTGTTCAATTAATATATAGCATAAGATAAATTTTACACTGAAAAAAGACATTAAGGATGGCCTTTCTCGCGATGCATTTACTCATCATAATCACAATCAATTGGAAGACAATCTGCGAGTATCTCCAAATAAATTTATCTTGACTAATTCCGGGACGCTGCTGACCATTACATCATCCCGGAACTCATGACGAAACTCTAAATTTTTTTTTCGCTTGTTATAGATTAAAAAAGTTAATTTCTATAGAATCGCGCCAGTTTTAAGTAGCATATATCCATGTTATGATTAATATAACTATTCAGCGGATGGTTTCAATTGGTTGCAGTAGTTGGGTTGCTCACAATCAACTTGTGATCTTAACGTTAAGCTCACTGCTCGGCACACGTACGAGACGCCAGGTTTGATGTCCCCTTTAGCCTGCAGGCTGGACGAGTGCATGAAAAATTCAGACTTTGCCGCCGACCTGTGAAGGTCTTTATAATTTAAGGTCCCGCAATATTGATGCCTTTATAATTTCCGGACTTTAGGTGAGAGAAAGACTTTACCGTTTCCCTGTCTTGGCTGCTTGAGGGACAATAGACAGAAAAGTCCTTTATTGACGACTGAAGTAAAAAAGAGCAGGTGCAGCATGGCTTTCTTGTGGAAATTTCATTGATACTAAAAATGATATAAGACATAATAACATTCCCGTGAATGAGAAGAACCTATGTTGGCCAAATTTATTCGTTGCGCTGTTTCATATCCTGGTTTAGCGGTGAACTTCTTGCCGTCAAATAAATCAAACTAAGATATAATTGAAGTGTTTCATTTAAGAAACAGAGGCTCAATAAGAAAAATAATTATTGAATTGTTCGTTGATGCTGATAGTATAATTAGATTTCTCCTTGAAATCGCATTTCGATGAGGATAATATCGGTTTTTCTGGTTCAAAATTCCCTCAAAGTTCTCACTATCGTACCTCACTGTCTCAAAAAAATTACGGTGCGTTTGCCAGGAAAGTCGTTGTAAAAACTGACGACCTGATTACGAAGTTATAGCGAAGTTGTACACAAGTTGACGCGACAGATATTAATTATCAAATACTCCTATATATATTTTATTAATCAAGCAAACCTTATTTAAAAAGACTGATCCTATGCTATCCTTAAGTAGTCGTCCATGTATCATCTCAATAACTCTAATACAACATATTAACGGATTTTGGCTATAATTTTTGGCAATTGAGCTATAATTTGAGACTATTTGATCTATTTTGAGGCAATTTGAGCTGTAATTTGAGGCAATTTGAGCCATAATTCTAGGTAATTTAAGCTATAATTTGAGGCAATTTGAGCTATAATTTAAGGCAATTTATGAGCTATAATATGAGGCAATTTGATTTATTTTTTGAGGCAATTTGAGCTATAATTCTAGGTAATTTAAGCTATAATTTGAGATAATTTGTGCTATAATTTGAGGCAATTTAAGCTATAATTTGAGGCAATTTATGAGCTATAATTTGAGGCAATTTGAGCTATAATTTGAGGCAATTTATGACCATTACTAGCAGCCACGATGACCATTAGTAGCAGCCACGATGACCATTAATAGCAGCCACAGTGACCACCAGTAGCAGCCAAAGTGACCATCAGTAGCAGCCAAAATGACCATCAGTAGCAGCCACAATGACCATTAGTAGCAGCCGCAGTGGCCATCAATAGCAGCCACAGTGACCATCAATAGCAGCCAAAATGACCATCAGTAGCAGCCACAATGACCATCAGTAGCAGCCACAATGACCATTAGTAGGAACCACAATGACCATCAGTAAGGGTCGAGTAACGCCATAGGCGTCTAATGGCTGCATTAGCGGTGGATTGCCACCACAGCTCCGACCGACTCGAGCTCGATGCTCGGCTACATGAGGATGGCCGCGAATGCTGAAAATTACGGACTGGGTCAGTGACGCGAGTGATTGTCCGTATTTTTCCGTGCTGATACTGAATGGAATGCGTGTAAAGCTTTCAAAATAAGATACGTGCATATTGGCTTACAGGAAATAATCAGTAGAAATTCAAATTTTTTATGTGGCGTGTTCATTAAATCATAAGAACGTACAATACTGTACTGTGTAGATGTTAAAGTTATCGCTGAATAAAGATGTGGAAACGGCAAAGAGATTTACGCATTGAATAGGAAAGTGAAAAAACTTTAGTTTGAACTTAATTGAATTGTCAAAGGTAATTTTAATTACTACTTTTTGAACATAGTTAACATCCTCAACCACAATACAATATTTAAAATTGACTTCCATTATGAATTTAATATAAGTATTCCATTAATACCTTGGTGCGAATAAAATTTTAAATTTCCTACCGTAGTTTCTATGCCTTGTTAACGGCTTTTGAATTCGCTAACAAATTTAAAAAAATTATAAAGTTGCAGCTTTGCCCCCTTATGAAAGACAGAAAAAATTTGTATAGATAGAAATTTGATTTAAGCGATTGGATAAGCGATCTTGAGGGGGCGAGGCTCCTCACTGAACGATCTTGCGGGGGCGATGTCCCTCACTGAACGATCTTGAGGGGGCGATGTCCCTCACTGAACGATCTTGAGGGGGCGATGTCCCTCACTGAACGATCTTGCGGGGGCGATGTCCCTCACTGAACGATCTTGAGGGGGCGATGTCCCTCACTGAACGATCTTGAGGGGGCAATGTCCCTCACTGAACGATCTTGAGGGGGCGAGGAACCTCACTGAACGATCTTGAGGGGGCGATGTCCCTCACTGAACGATCTTGAGAGGACGATGTCCCTCACTGAACGATCTTGAGGAGGCGATGTCCCTCACTGAACGATCTTGAAGGGGCGATGTCCCTCACTGAACGATTTTAAGGAGGAGATGTCCCTCACTGAACGATCTTGAGGGGACGATGTCCCTCACTGAACGATCTTGAGGGGGCGATGTCCCTCACTGAACGATCTTGCGGGGGCGAGGATCCTCACTGACTGATTTTGAGGGGGCGATGTCCCTCACTGAACGATCTTGCGGGGGCGAGGATCCTCACTGACTGATTTTGAGGGGGCGATGTCCCTTACGTACTGAACGATCTTGAGGGGGCGAGGACCCTCACTGAACGATGTTGAAGGAGTTCAGCCTCTCAGTGAATTAATGACGTTATTCTGAAAAGTTGGACTTAACGTTGACGACATGTGGGGTGGACTTGGAGATTTATTCATTTGCTCAGCTTGTTAATTCCTTTACAACGTTAAAAATGCACGTGCATTTTTTTACAAAAATTTTGTGCCGACTGAGCCTGTTTTGAGATGCTTAGAACCAATTTCTTCTCCTATTCTTCATTGGTAAGACAATAGAATAATGATGTCTACCACAACTACCGCAACAAATTTTAGAATTTATGTCTTGATGCATGACTGAAGTATAGAGAACATGTCTCTACGCGGCTGGAATATAGATAACATGTCTTCACGTGGCTGGAATATAGATAACATGTCTATACTTGGCTGGACTATAGATAACATGTCTATAGCATTTCCAGACCTTGCATGCCCCGGCGACATTAGTTCATAAAAAGATGTCAAGGAGCTCGTAACTTCTTGCTGTTTTGACAACTTCCGTCTCCTAAGACTGTGAGTGCATCAAGGCGGCTAACTTACAAACTTTCGTGCCTTACAACTCTGACAACTTGGGCAGAACTCAACTGGACTTACGTAAAATATTTCAAAGTTATCTATCTTATGGATTCCTACATGTCATAAAAATTGTATTTTCTTTTGGTTTGATTTGAACGACAAATTATCATTACATTGACTCCTTACAATAACTGCACACCCAATTAGTGAGAATATATTGCTTCTCATAACCGATTTACTCATCTTTATTGATATTAATAATAGAACTTGCTTCTTTGGAAAATATGAGGAAACTTTTTGATAAATTAAGCATATTTTGCTCAAAGGTTAGGAATTTCATGTAAACGCTAAAAATAGAAACCTTCACATTGTAACACAGGCTGCATCAGATACCAATTACGTAACCAACTACCAAATAAATCCAAATTTTATGCAAATTTTTCAAATTTAGTAAGAAGTTTTCAAGAATATCAATAATAATTTCTTTTTAAATATATTTTAATTCGTTACCTCGGCAGAGGCTCTCTGGTGTTGTTGAGGACAGGCTCGTCGTGCTCGACGTTCAGCTCCCTGGGCGCCTGGTCAGAGCTCAGCCAAATGTGTAGCGTCGGAACCTGAGGTATAGGAAATATATTTAAAATTAAATTTAAAAGCTAAGAATTTACCAGAAAAATTCACAATACCTTCATAGGAAATGTTTCGGAGTCCAGCTCTATCGTCAGTTTGGAAATTCTAGAACGATGCCTCTTAATTTTATGTTAATATGTCATTAGAGATATTACAGTCTGAAAATTACAGCTAAAAATTAAATTAAAAATTACAGCTAATATGAACCTCATATATAGACCTGAGTTTAATGCAGAGCTCACGATGAATAAAGATGATAATGAGCATTTTTCAAACCTGAACTTTCTGTCACTTCCGTCCACGTGAATTCGTAATGACGCGAAGTTTTTCGGTGCCTTCTATTTAAAAAAATTTCTGATGAACTAAAATAAAATAAGATAATTCTTGTCAAGACAATTCGGACCGATGACGAGAATTGCCCTCATTTCAGGAGATAAATAAGGCACAGCCCCGTTATTTCAATCGTATTATTTAACGATGACATATGTAGATGAGAGATATTTTGCCAAGACCAACCTGTCGCACTCTTGACTTTGGTATTGAATTGCACGGTCATACCATGACAAGGATTTGAATTCTGCATAGGTCGAAGGGGTTGCAAAAATGCTTCAGTTCCTGCGCATTCCTCGCTTGAATAAAATGAAACGTCATCGCCAGGAACGCTATCATGCCTCGAATGTCAATGTCAGCCTAGCAGCTGACGGGATTAAAAAAATGTCTTCCTGGAAATTCAGCGAAGGGCTTTCGTTGAGTGACACCATTTATTTTTGTCAGCCAATGAACTTGGATTCTGAATAAACAATTCAATGAATTCATGGATGTCATTGGTTGATTACGGAAATATAGGGCGTTTTCTTTTAGATAAAGTTTATTCATAGACACGAAAATCTCATGAATAATTAAGTTACGCCATGAGCTCAATCTCTTACATTTTTCTTTCTTTTGAGAGCATTTGATCGCTAGTTGATTCATTTCTCATGATGAAGGATTAAGAGTTAACGGAAAATTTATGTCTGTGCAATATGAATAGTAATTTAAATAAATTGCAAACGGTAGCACTGTATTACTCTTATTTGTCTGTAAAATTCTATTATAAAGTTCAAGAAAATAAAATTATGTACAAAAAAATATTCAATAACAAGGCCCCATACTAACGACATCAGGATATCAGGATAATGATCTTACAAGCAACCCACGAAAATTCAAATTTTGGTATTTTGGTCACTTACAGCCAACGGTCAGTGTAATTAATGTAAAATTTGACCCCATACCAATACGAATCAACCGAGTACTAATGTCCTGCCATCCCCGGCACAAACGAAACATTAAGAAGTCACTCACCGTTGCTCGGTCCTGGAGCGGACGGCGGCCCCCAGGCGGGTCGATGGACTTGTTGATGGTCGACCAAAACCGATTTCTTTTCAAGCTTGGCGGCATAAGGCTCCTTGTGCGCTTCACTTCCGAGCCGCGTTCCTTCTTTCGTGAGGCCGAGCGATCCCGAGGGCCCAGAATTCTTTCTTTGAGGCTCGTGCCTCGATTTATGAAGGAGGTCATCGCAACTCCCGAGGAAGATCGCGCACGATCGTCCAACTTCTCGACATGAATGACTGTTTGGTCCCTTGGCAGAACGGGACCGCGTATGTTGAGCGGTTTTTCAACGGCGGTGTTGTCATTGGTCGGAAAGTACTGGGATTTTTCTTGGTCTTCATCGTCTTCGATTGAAAACTTTGCCTTGGATTTGCCTCTGTCCGCCTTTGTTGTGTTGGTTATCTTGCTCTTCGAAGGTTCGTTGTAGCTTGATCGACCTTCTCTGAAGCTGTGCCAACGACTCTTGGGACCATCTTTGGATAGGACCATAAGAGCCTCCGCCATTTCAGGGTTAAAGTTACGGGAGTCCATATTGGTGTTTTTGGTTCGTATAATGTCATTGTAATGCTGGACCGTGGTGAGCTCTTTACCAGCATTTGCACTCAGCACGTTGAAGAGCTGCGTCGTTGTGGCCGGTGAGGAAGTTGAAGAGTCGTACGCAGATGAAGAGCCAAACGTCGCCGAAGAGTTGAAGAGGAAAGGAGAAGATGAAGTCACTGATGTGCTAACCATAGGAATGGACAAATTTAACACACCTCAAAAAATCAGTCATCGTGATCTTGTGTCTACATTTCATGTTCTGATATAGAATCTGCCAAAAACGAACTCGTTCATCAACACTTTTGTAAAGAAGAAAAATAGAACTTACATTTTATCTTTCGTTTTCAAGCACGCTAAATTCAATTAGTAAAAATGCAGATGCAGTGATATGCGGTGCATCTCCCTTCCAAGACTTAGATGTGCATCAATGTTGTTGCACATTTGTTCATTTTACCTGTTCAAACCTAATAAAACAGCGGATTCACTTCCTCTGAAAAACACACAAGACCCATAAATAATAGTATATACTTTTTTGTGACTTTGGCTTTGGCTAAAAGTTTCCTGCCCAATATTGCAGGAAAGCGCTATTCGAGAATTCAAGTTCACCTATTTTAAACCAAAACATAGTTGAATCACACTTTAAAATCGTAACTGTAACGCACCCAGGCACTCAAAGTGCAACATAATTTCCGTGCTGTACTCATGCATATTTCTATCATTAAAATTTGATTGACGACATGTTGGCGATGGCATGTATCGGTGAGGAGATAACGAATTCAAATGTATAAGTACGTTTTAAGAAAGAAATAACTGATAAAATAATCGAAGCAGAGAGAATAAGAGAAAGAAGGAAGGCGTTACAGAGAGGGAGAATGAAATAAAAAAGAGAGTGAGAGGACAATAGAGCGGGAGAGAGTGAGGACCCATCAGATAATTTCATCTCACGTCAACGCGCTCGTTAATTGGGTTTTCGCGACGCCCTCGCTATCGTCAGTAAATCAGGTAAACCAATTTGAAGTATCAAATTTTGGTCAGCATTTCATGTGGCCACGCATCATCCGGCCAAACTATTCTGACAGTGAGAGAGCAGACCACAGCAGACCACAGCAGACCACAGCAGACCACAGCAGACCACAGCAGCCCACAGCAGACCACAGCAGACCACAGCAGACCACAGCAGATCACAGCAGACCACAGCAGACCGCAGCAGACAGCAGAAGTCCACAGCAGACCACAGCAGACCACAGCAGACCACAGCAGACCACAGCAGACCACAGCAGACCGCAGCAGACAGCAGCAGACCACAGTAGACCACAGCAGACCACAGCAGACCACAGCAGACCACAGCAGACCACAGCAGAGTATGATTTACTTTCGATTCAATTACTACTAAAATTTTTTTATTACAAAGAAAATGTTTGGCATTACATTCGATATGGCATCATTGATTGCAGTAGTCATGTAATTACTTTGCTTTTTATATTACACGCCCATTACTTGATAGCCACCACAACCATTGCACACCCATTACATGATAGCAACTACAACCATTACATGACAGCAACCACAACCATTACACACCATTACATGACAGCAACCACAACCATTACACACCATTACTGCATTACATGATAGCAACCACAACCATTACTCACCCATTACATGATAGCAAGCACAACCATTACATGATAGTAAGCACACCATTAGGTAGGTGTAGGTGCTATCTACAAATTAGTTTTTGAATTTATTTTTCAGTAGAACGGTGATTAAAGACAATCACCCATCACCGAGAGCATGAAAGAGGACGAGGAATAAGGCAATAAATACATATTAAAATGAGACAAACTCCATGCTTAATATGAAATCAATGAAATATTTAAACAATATACCTAATAGTTTACTGTTCATTGGTAAAGAGGGAAGGAAAGTCCTCCTGAAATTGGTCTGTATACCTATTTCTCACGCAGTCAAGTTGCACGCCAATTGATTGGGCGGGACTCGAAATGATGGACTGGTCGTGGCTGGAGACGCAAAATTCTGATAGAAAATATAATGTTTCAATTAACAGTGCGCTTGTAATTTGATTAGGTTTTGCGTTTGATTGCGTTTAGAGGGTTTGTGCAGCTGCAATTCGATTAATTTTAAAAACAATTATGTCAGCGAAACTATCACAGCTATCGGAAACTGAATGGAATTATTTTCCATTATGAAAATAAGAGTAAAAGTAGTGATTTGCAAGTTAGGTTATAACGTAAATCTTGATAAATTTTCTTGAGAATTGACCCTCTTGTGTCAGCGTTTATGCTGTACTACTCACAGTATAAAATGTAATAATGTCATATAAGTAATTTACATAATAGAAAGAATGAAGTATGTATGTCAGTAGGAAAAGAGAATGCTGTTTACTTTCATTTTCTCTTGGACATAACAAAAATCATTAAACGGACGAGTAAGCGTCTAAAACCGAATTGTTTGATCGATCATTTACATTTCATGAAAAAACATTGAACAATAATTGAATTTTCTTTCAATCATGGACAGCTTTTACAATTTTGCATGAACAATCAACTATCACCAAAATCAACAACCGAACGTATAAAACAAAATACCTAGATCCACATTCATTAACGAGAACTAAAAATACTTAGACATTTATACATGATGTTAATGATGAATGCATTGAAATATGCCTTCGCATGCCACCTTTGCTACCAATGATCTCGATGGCCTACAAGTGGTCCACCATCAGAATTTTTCGCCCTCAGCATTTAGACTCTCAAGACATCCCGCGACGAATTACAATAAGAAGAATTTTGGCATCGTACTTCAGATTGAACTTTCATCTTCGAAAAGCTTCTCCAATATTTGCGCGATGCCCCTCCAGCAAATTTTTTAAATCACTGAATATTTCCGCGGACCCATTTTCCTCGTCTTGAGGACAGAGAATTTAAAATCTCAAGTTTTGAAAGCTTGAGAAGCCGAAATCAGCTCATGATATTTCGACGAAATAATTTGTAGTGTCAGTATAAAAAGAATTTCTGCCAACATTTTTTGTAAATGGTTGAAATGGGCAGAAAGTAAAACAGTACATGTGATTTAATTTAAATCGGGGAAAGGAGACATTTGAAGAATGTATTGGGTGTCGTTCCATTAAAAAAAAAAGAAAGTCTAAATGCTCACTGTTTACATTTCCTATTTCCATTGAAAAAATCCAATCAATCGAATTCAAATGAATTTGAAATCTTTTTTTCGTTGAAATTGAAATTATTTATTATTTATATACCAACTGATTAAAAGCACTATTACAGGAAATTAAATTTAGAATTATTATATTTTATTTTAATTTGAATAATTTCCTGCGTTGATTAATTATTTATTATTAATTAATTATTATTTATTATTAATTGCATTAATTTGAATAATTATCTCCGTTTCCTCGTACATGTCATCCTGTTGCAGATAAATCTTATTGTCAGGTGAATATTATTTTCTGTGTTACTCAGTCACGGTAATGAAATACAAAATAATCATCAGTTACACTAATTAGTCTCTTGTTCAGGGTAAAAAACGTGGGGGCTAATTGGGCTGAATAAATTAGATAAATTATGTGCGTTAATATCGTAAAATTTGAAATGTAATCTAATTAATATTTCAACATTAATATCAACTCATCGCGAATATAAAAAATTTGTCTATAAGGCGACGTTTAGGACGGCATTAATTAATATTCCTGCTTTACAAGCTGTATATTGATGAGATTTGGTCCCAGTATAGTTATTATAACTGTTAGGTTTTTCCTAATATCGGAAACTGAGCGTCAACTAGAATAGTTAATCTTGATTCATCAAGTTCTCTATAGGGTTACGTTGCTTAAACATAGTAAATTCAGATTGAAGAGACTCACTAAATTTTGATATTCATTAAGTAGAAATTTTGAGGGACATTCCATTTATGCTATCCATTTACGTTTCAGTCGCTGCTTCATCCGAGAGATGTCCTTAGAAAACTTAGTTTTCTTGCAATTTTTCGCTTCCGGGACGCTCCAAATAGGCCTCTAAATTTAGGCCAAAACGGCCATCTTTCATTGCATTAGGACTCCTCTATACGGAGTTACGGTTAACTTTCAGTAGCTATTTTATGGCCACATGAACATCGAAAACAGGCTGGGCCTTCGAAGGAGGCTTTAAAAGGGCACTTTAAGGGTTGCTTTTATGGCTCACTGCCATTTAGTGGCATCGATCCTCAAGCATGATAATTATGGGTGTAGCCAACTTACGACAAACCTGAGAATTCCACAACTTCAAACGCTTCAATAATGATTTATTTTGCTTGAAACTCGCAAGAAAAATTTACCTTGACTACTTCTGAACATGGAGGCGTATAATCGAAATTTTAAATCACATACTTATTTACCTCTCTAATATTCTAGCCGACCAACAAATGGGCCAAAAAAAATTATTCCAAAATTATTCCAATGGTAAAGTTTTCGATACGAAACTTTACAATACCCAAGTTACTAAATATAAAGTTACCTGGTCAAGTCAATACTTTTATTTAGGAATTCTGAAGCGCGTGGCGATGAATTGCATGACGAATGTCAATGCGTGGCGACGAATTGCAGAACAAACTTCAACGAGTGGCGACCCAACTTTCAAAGGAGTGCATAAGAGGGGGCGCAAAGTTACCGTGTACGATCCTATATAAAGTAATGATATGAATTGTTCAGAGTTTCTAAAGATATTATCAATTTTAAAGTTTCGAGCCTTGGAGTGCATCACAGGCTATGGACAACAGGCTATTGCAATTAGGCGAGCAATAAATTTATTCGTAATATATTGGTCCATATTGGTATATTTGAATTCCATGCTCCTTGTTGCACAATACAGATAATCGAAATCGTTCCACATTCCTGGTCGCAATAAACTTCACTGAATTTCATGTGCGATAAGTTTAATAATTACCGGTAGCTACGATATGATACTTCTACGTGGGGTTTACATTCCAAAGATAAATGGTAATAATGTATTCTATACGAACCTAATAATATCTATTTTAAATCAATTTCAATCGTTTTCTGAGGCTGCATGACTTATTTACCCATATTTTTGACAAAAATTCAGCAAAAAACAACTCATTTTTATTAGCGCACCTTGCAACCTTCATGAAACTTCAATACTTTAATTCCAATGCGGACGCTCGTTCGGAATACAATTCCACGACAATTTAAAAGTTTCGCGAACCTAAGAATAATTTTGAAACTCCTGAGAGCCTAGAGCTCTAAAGGCTTCAAGTTGTCGTCATTTTCTCAGACGAGGTCTTGTTCTCTTCAACGGACAGCTCTCTGAAGATTCTTTTTCAAACTTTATATTCAAAACTTCATAAATTCGCAA